AGACGTCCACTGCTGTCCAAACGATCCTGTGCTGCGCTCATCCAACGGCGAAATATGTACGAGGATCGATCGAAATCTCAATCATCTTGAGTCGAATCTATGTGATGTTCTATGAACCATTGTTAAGTGTCTCAAGCACAGCTATACTGCAAGCCATATTAAAATCCAAGTACATAAAATTATACTCCAATTCTTAAGCCGTAGGTCCCGGTTGCGTTAGGAACATCTGTGGTAATCGTTACGGGTAGTTAGAGGCCCTTAAAAATCCGACAACAGTATATCTACAGAACTTCAATAACGCCTAATTGGGTTGCGGAGTTCTGATTAAATTTAAAAAAAGGTATCTTTAACCTATGTTACTAAATAAATAAACTTTAGCCTATGTTGATCCCTTCGGAGATATAGACATCAGTATATGTAAGTATGAATATATTTATATTTGAAAATGTAAAGTAAAAAAAAGAACTAAATACAGCAGAGCTCCCGAAAATAATATTGTCATATTCGTATCTTCCGACAGGTTTATGTGTTTATGTGTTGTGAATTCACATCGCCCAGGAATGCCAATCTAGAGTTTCGGTACAAGTTTTATTTGTTATTTAACAACGATCACGCATACGGTGAATGATTCGCAGTTGATATGTGCATGACAATGTTTTTTTGGTAATAATATTTACGTTTTGATTGTCTTATCAATTTTATAGTGTCTTATGTTAAGTTTGCTCCGGTTAAAGGGCAAGAGAATGTTTCTCTATTGTGTGTATAAGAAAGAAAGAAGTCATTCACACTTTTTTTTTAGTACTTTGTTTACCTCTGTATGATTGTGACATTTTATCTGGTATTAAATTAGAGAAAAACCTGCTATTATATTACTAATTTCGAAAGACAAGCCAAATTGAGAAACCTGCACCGATTATGCACCGATTTGCATTTTACCATACCACATATTATCACCTCTAAGTGTAGAAATTTAGGAAACAAAGAATACAGTTGGTTACATCATGATCATACATCATGATGTAGGACGATTAAAGTTGTTGCTAGTTTTTAAGAGTTCATTATTTCGTCTTAGAACATAATTTGAAACTTGTCTCTCGTAGTTTCGTAAACAATTTAAGACTGACTCATTTATGAACACTTGGTCGCTCCTAATACGCTTTATTTCTACAAGTTAGTTGTCATATATCTGTCTGACTCGATGATCAGAGCCTAAACTGAACTAAGAAATAATTTTATGAAATTTTAACCCTAAAGGGGTGAAAGGTTGTATGGAAGTTCGTCATTTTCAAAGTTAGAAACAAGAAATAAGTAATAATAAAGCAAGCGAAGCCAAGGACAATAGTTAGTCAATAAGTCCAGCGCAGCATCGTCAGTAATTATTGTTCCTAGGGTAAAATAAGCTGCATGCTTGTAAATAGCGAAAAGACGACGAAAAATGTTCTTAAAATTATTTAGTCACGATTCTACTCGAGGTAAGAATACGCAATGACCAATGTCAATGTAATAAAAATGTATAGTAATTTTAGTAAACAATTACAGAGCACTCAGAGTTATCGCGTTACATAATGTCAATGGTGCATTGCTACTAGTGCGGTAAGGATTATGTCTTATTTGGATCGATTTCATACGTCATGGTAGTTATTGAAGACTAGTGCAAAGGATTTTCCGAATACTATGTATTATATAGAGAGAGTTAAGGGTTTTAAATCTAATTTTATTTTTGAGGAATTGAATTTGGGTTACCATGAAACTTTTATTTGGAAGAGATAATGCATTGATTGGATTAGATTACCAATTGGGATATGTGACACACACACATACTTAGTGTTGGTTTGTGTTCTTTCTCTAAATAACACTATTTAGAGAAACAATTTAGACATCGAAAATATAAATATCTCGAGTAGTATTTTTTAGCCAGAAGTATGTGGTGTTTCCACTAAAAACCACCCCGAAGGCCGGCCTCATGCGTCCTTCTCTGGGCTACACTGCTACGAGCAGTTTCCTAGAAGTAATTCTATAACTCAGATCACCAGTTCTATTCCATTCATTCATGATTAAGCACCTTACTTTAGAACGAACAATTAATTGGTAAGACTGCTGCTACGCTCGCAGTAAGACACAGATTCCACGAGATCGTCTGCGTCACACAAAATGAAGCGGTATGAGTCCTTGAATCAGTGTTCATCATTGAAATATGGTAAACCACTGTGGACGGGTCTATACCCTTTAATTTGCGCTTATTACGTCTATTCATAGCTTCATAGCTATGAATAGACGTAATGAGCGCAAATTGAATACTTTACTACTGATTGCACAGGCCAATAATTTTATTACTCCGCAAGTTCTATTTACTCCCATGGCATATCGTCTTTAGTAATGCAGTTTTTTTTAAATTATCGAAGTGTTGATAAATTTAAAATTTATACGGTCGTGAAAGCCATGGTTTTTATATAGAATATAGAGATTATTTAGCCCTGTAACTTTTCAACAGCTGAAAAAATATTTTTAGTGTTTAAATTTTTAAACAATGTGGTGCATTTTATAATAATTTTCTTTACGAAATAATTTGGGATTTTAACACTATAATTTAACTTTTTTATGACTTATGACTATCGCCGCACGTGGCAACTCCAGATTCCCCCCTTACCTCACCACGACTAAGAGGGTGGGAAGGGGAGGTTTGGGCTTTGATAACCTCTAAATTGAATTGGAAAAGCGAAAACCAAAGAAACAGTTTGCTTAACATCAGTTTTCAAGTACTTTACACAAGTGCCTAAAGTTTGCAGCAAATGAAAAACGTGTATATATTTAATTAACGCTGCTATAATTTTATTATAAGCATGTGCATATAAGTAAATAAACCGTTAAAGTAAAGATTACCGGTAACAATAATTTTATTTGCGCTTTAAAGCATACATAATAATTGTTCTTTTGCTATATGTTTTAAGACTATGATATATATATATATATATATATATGACTTGACTGAACGTCTATCTATTTGGTAATTCTACCAATTACGATATTTGAAGCTAACGATTTGAATGGATATTTTAAGCCATGATCAACGACCACGGCCTCAATCTTGCTATTTTATGTTAACGCCAAGCCACTGTCATTCCATGGACGTTATTGAGATGCCATTGAGACGCCATTGACTTCAGTCAAAATATGAGTATTCTACTAACATTAATTTACAGTGTCAATAGACTGTCGATAATGTCGGTAATATAGGTCATCAATGGTGATATCAACAACATTGTCACACCTGGAAAATAAAATACATCATTTTCTTAAGTACAAATTTAAAATGTATCATACTGTTACAAAAACATCGATGAAATTTGTATCAGTGACAAGTCATTGGGCCATCGGTCTTACATAGTAGAATAGGAAATGTGCAAAACTATTCCGATGACATTCCATCGACAGTCTATTGATACAATATTAAAATATGTAGCAGAATTGAGGCCCAGGTTTAAAATATTTCCGCGCTGGTTTCATAGAAACAGGTTAAAAAACTAGTGCTGGAGCATAGAAGTAAAATGGAATAATTAGTTCATTAAAGCGACTAGCCAGTTCATAGTTGGCAAGCAAACCCACACGGACCGTTTGATGAGAAGCAGTTAGAGACGATTATAAATAAACATTTACAAACACATTTGCTTACGGTAGAGGTGCTTCCCCAACCGGGTGTACTCAGTGCAGCAAGATGATGCTTATCTACTATTAGTGTTAGTATTTTGAGGCAAATCACACTTAGTGTTTTTCGCTCACGGCTCTCTCCCCGGCGGATAACGGCACCTCCGGGGAGGTGCCGCTATCTTATTCATCTGCATCTTATGCATCTTATCTATTTGCATTGTTTCTTGTACTAAGTAATCAATAAGTATTACTAAAGTAAGATAAACCAAAGTACCACGCAGTAGGTCTAGACCGCGGCTTAGTAGACAACTAGGCATCTATTATCTACTAAACGTTAGATTGTCAACTGGGTTATACTTAATTGATTGTTTATATTTTATTCACATGGATGCAAAATAATGACTGAAGTATGGAATTCTGCAATCTAGTTTTAAAAACTAAAGTTAACTAACCAAGTCGGCAAAAACTATGGTTAGGTATGGAATATTAAATTTTTTACTCGATACGCGTATCCCTTCAGTAAGCCTAGATTCTTAGAGGAAAACAGAGTAAATTCGTTAAAGTCATTAGAAATGGTACCAATAATTTCTTTTGAAGAATGACGTAAAGACGGGACAGCAGCTCTAAAATATAAAGACCGACAACGCTTTTGACATGTAGGCGAAACGTGAAATTATAAAATATAACTCTATGTACTCTTCTATTTAATAAAACTAATATTCACCGAGTAAACAGAGAACTGAATGAGAAATCCTTTCGTCTACAAGCTGAAATATGGTACAGCGTAGTTGTGCATATTTCATTTTTTGTAATCATAAAATAAACGTAAATTGAAATTTCACATACTCAGTTATTTTTTGTTTACTTTTAAAAATTGAAACGGGGCTTTAGTTTGTCACGCATCGATTTTCTAAACTGGACCATTTGGCACAATGCCAAGTGTAAGGTTATAGACGATATTGTGTGGCTGGCAGCAAGCCAAATGTTACAGATTTTTTTATATACTTTTACGTTTTTATGATGTTTCTTTACTAATGTGTTCATTCATTGCAGAATTGAAGAGGTTATTACACTTCAGGGTGCGAAATAACGGGTTACGAAGCGGAAACATTTTATAAATATTACATCCATGACTACTGTTCGTGTATAACATTATATTTTTAATTTACTATTGATTCAGTGATCAACAAATTTTGCGTCTTTGTGATCATTGACGAGGTTTGCATTGATTCACTGAATTTTCACATACTTAGGTGAGTATGTAAATATGATATTGTTTTATTTTTCAGAGACAAAATATGTGCTGAAAATGATGACGATAATGATATTTAATACTCAATAACATTGCACAATACCTGAGCTGAGCGGCGTAGAACTGATGCGGGATTGCGGTTAGTACACCAGCGCCATCACCGGTGTCATTATCGCATGCGCAAGCACCGCGGTGCTCCATACGTTTTGCGAGGACCTCGGCATCGCGAACAATCTGGTGATGTTAAATTTATGTTACAAACATATTTATAAAGAATACGTGGGTTTTATTGATTCCGTGTCTGTAATGTTGACTGTCGAGGAGTTTTGTCTGGAGTCCAGATAAAACAACTCCTACACTATCACACGCGCACTATCACAATTCAAATCACATTCTTATAGACGTGATCTAACGTAAGAGAATGCAGTGTGACAGAGAAAAACAAGTCAAATAGCGGCTGCGTTGAAAATGGTCATCGAGTAAATAATGTAGAGACCACGCCTAACACATTTATGCAGAATCTTCTTTTGAAAAATGTATGTTTTCTTCGTTATGTCGGGAATATTTACTTAATGTTCCACATTTTGAAGTAGGCATTTTTATTACGAGAATAAACCCTCGGATCGGGTTAGCGGTTCTTTATTTAGATTATATGCACTAATGCACTTAACATTCTCATCTTTGCAACTCTTATGATAGGATATGGAGTCAAATTTTGTACGAGCTGATAGCAGAACTCTTCCTAAAATAGACGCATTTATGTTTGCACTTTTCTTTAAGAATAACGCTGATTATTATGCTGCGGAACTTAAAAATGTCAGCACTGTTTTGTTTATAACATATAATAGGTCTTTACCTATGAAATTGCCGTTTTGTATGCAATAAGTGAAAGTACTTATTTTTTCAAACTTTTTTATTTCTGTTATTCGAAGTAATCACCCGGCAATCGACGCTTCTTTGTCAACGCATTAACAGTTTATTGATGCCCTTGTAAAAATCAGCTGGACCGGAGGCAACAAACTCTTCAAAGGCATTTTGTACTGCCTCTCGGGAATTGAATTTTTTACCCACTAAAAAGTTGTCTAAATTATGGAAAAAGTAATAGTCGGTAGGTGCAAGGTCTGGTGAGTACCAAGCAATCAGCTTTGGTCGCAATATCCCTTGTATCACACTAACGTGTTGATAACTGTTTAGCTACATGATCAGCGTACCCTATTTAACAACTGGACTACCACAGACCTTTGAGTTAAGATTTTAATTGAATCAGAAATAAATTGCGTGTGTGCTCCAAAATATTGCCACTTAACACTTTTCATAGTACTTTTTTCCACTTTTGGTTTATTAATTTCGTTTCGGGTTCCAAGACAGTTAGCTTATCCTGGTACTTCCCGAGTGTCTTAACTCTGCATGATCGTGGGTCACTGCCGTTGATCCTGGTGTACAGGGTGGAACGTGAGGCTTATGAAAAAATACTTTTTCACTTTAAAGTCTAGGTTTGATGTTCTAGAGAATTACTAGTAATGTATTTCTGGTTTCAAGAAGAGTCGACAGTTCAATGACAGCCAAATTAAGGTCAACTCAGCGTAACTATTCGAGATTCGAGCTTGTTCGCGCTTGCTCCAGCAAATTCAAGCAGTAAGTCGCGTGTGCCTGAGTAATCACATTATTAGGCCAGTGTGTGAATCTCAATATATTAACGATTATGCTTGCACATGCTGTCGCAGCGTCCGTGTTTTCCTATCCTGACATAGCCGCGACAAACGACACATTCCAATTGACTATTGCCCTACGGTTTTCAACTCTATTATAAGGCTTAGAACTCATTCATATTCATAGTCAATCTGAGTGGACACTAACAATACTAGTAAGGGATCAACAGCCGGTAATTAAATGTATGCTTGTTTGCTAACATATCATAAAAATACACGTGTTTACTTACTTTATGCGTACGTTTCCCGTCGATAGCAACTACAAAACCAACACCGCAAGCTTCGTGTTCGTTCTGTGGGTCGTACAATCCTTGCTTGGGCGGCCCTTCCCACTCCATACCTGGTTAACAGAGATACACTTACATTTATTGATACTGTACATTTTCTTTACAAATAAATTTCATAGCAAAACTTTTTTAATAAAGTAAAACAAGATCGCGTTAAATCCAGAAAGTAAATTGCTAAACACTAAGAGTTTAGGCAACTTACTTTCTGAAATTAACGCGACGCATGAAAAATTGCCTAATATTGTTATTGTACATGAAAAAATTATAGTGTTTTGTAGTCATGAGATATAGGGCAAATTTTATGTAAGTATTAAGTACACTTAAACGCGGGCCTAGCTACTATTACTGAGTACATAATATAATACAGCAATTCTCATTCGAATTGAAACTGCACCGAACAAATATTGTCAATTCAAACAACACAAGAGAGCATCGTACGGCGTGACCATGAGCTCCCCTTTTAATATTGAAAATACTTTAACTGCAATTTTATCTTCTTACAAAAGTCTTATTTAGTACCCCTTGTATCTGAACGCGTGTAGATATTGGTAATCGATGGGGGCTGACGGGAAACGGGCATGCTCAGTAAGTACGATATCCAAGTCCTATACTAATATACTTGTTATGTCTGTAATGACTCAAAAGAATTTATTTCGCGAACTACTATACCTATACTCACTCTCACGAGACAATATCAGACTGGGGATAATAATCATTTTGATAAGCAAATTTTTTACTGATAAGGCTTTTGTATCCATTGGTTTTTTAATTTTACATATCCCGTGGAAAATGGCCGTATACCTCAAGTTTCAATAAATACCATTCACCTTGTCCTACAACACAGTTCATCGACATTACTATTTAATAATATTGTTGGACTTCGCTCGTAATCCCGTTTTGTTGACGTGTTATTTGATAGCGAATATTACGGTAAATTGAGTTATCTCATTTAAACTTGTAACTGACGAGAATGTATTAAAACTCTACTAAGTTAATTTAAAAAAATCACAAACAGCAGCAATTAATAATATTAACTACACACATCTCACACTCGGCAGTCTGGTCCCAAAAAGTTTGTACTATGGTAACCAGACTGATGATAAACATACTTATAGGTATGTATATTTCTAAATGATCGTGCAATATTGTCCTGGGTGGGAATCGAACCCACGACCTCCAACCTAGCAGTCAGGGTCACTAACCACTAGACCAACAGGCCCGTCAATGGTACTTGTGTGCGATGTCACATGCAATGAAAGCCATGGGACAGCCATGGTTCGACACATGGGCCGGCCCGACCGGAGTGATACAACGGCCCCACAGAAAAACGTTGTAAGCAATTCTTTCCTGTCTGGAACTGATGTCTCGGAGTCCATGGATGGCGGTAATCACTATCACGTGACCCCACGTGATAAAACAATTAAATTTTTCACATTGTAAACTTGTGGCGACTTCTACATAAAATAAAACAAACATACTACAGCGCCACCTAACGGAAACATACCGAACTACAGAATAACTGCTAATCCTGTATCGCGATATGAATAATTCTTACGCCGATTAGCATATTTACAACTTCCCAACATCAATCGTGGGGCCGCGGCCCGCCACGCCACGACACCCGTTCCGCCACACACTCACAAAGTTCCGATTGAGTTCTCTTATGAGCCCACTTTGAACTTTATTATTTATCGGAATAATGATCAGGAAAATCACAACTTCTTAAAGTTCTTTTTACACAGCTACAAAGTTTTTTTTTCCGGTAGCTAGAAGTTCTTTTCTTTTTTTTTAAATATTGTTAGAAATTATCCGTGCGGAAATCCCCTCGGATACCACCTGTCGGTGGCATGTCGGACTCGAACCGACTCGAACCGCACGCCTTCGCCGGGTACTAATAGCCGGGGAACCGGGTATACCCTAGAAAGGAAGTCCCTGGTGCCCCGACATACCTCGGGTCATCTACAGACGAGTAGACGACCCCCCCCCCCCCCCCCGTGTGGGAACCCCATGTTCCCTGTGCTCCCTGGAAGCGAGCGCGCTTCGCAACGCGCTCGCCGCAACCCCGGCCTGCTTCTGCTAGGGTGACAGATGGCCTCACCTGTCACCCCCAGGCCTGCGCTTATGGAGGACGGAGGTCGTTCTGCGACCTAGCCTAGCGATAGCCGCAATCAGGCTATCGAGCGAGAGAACTCCCACTCCGATGGCCGCCACGAGGTCTCGCCTCTGCTCAACCCACGCCGGGCACTCTGCCAGCGTGTGGAGAGCCGTGTCCACGGTCTGGCCATCGCAGTGGTGGCACTCAGGCGTTGGCTCCTTGCGGATCAGACACAGGTGATCTCCGAAACATCCCTTCCCAGTGATCACCTGCGTCAATCGGTATGAGAGGGTCCCGTGACGCCTCTCGAGCCAAAGAAATTATCCCCTAATCAAAGAGTAAATATCTATAACACTTAGTAATTTAATACAACAAAATTATTGATTACTGTGAAGTTAAGCCATAAATTGAATTTGATTCCCGGGTCCAACCAAATGTTTGTATGATCTGCAAATATTTGTTTCGAAGTTTGGGTGTTTTCTATGTATAATATGTATGTATTTACAAAAAATAAAATCGCGTTGTGCGTCAGATGTCCGAAATATTATTATTATATTATTAAAAATATATATTTGGAAATATGAGTAGAATATAAGTAGAATATTTATAAACAGTCTGATTAGGGCACGTGCCCATACTACGTTACCCGTTCAGGGGAGGGAGAGGCGTCTTCAAAATACCACGCTTGGTCACAATGAGGGGTTTAGGTTTTTACCACGTAGTCAATATCCGCTAGGGAAATCTCGCTCTTTTTCGAGCTACATTCAAATATGGCGCGCAATTTCAAAAATCAAATATTTGTTGAAGATGATTGAGATGGAAAATAAATGTTTTTAAAAATAACAGGACTATAAATTAAGTTCTGGTTACAATATATTTTGACATAAGTTTTCATTCATCTTGATAAAAAAAAACACTTGTAATTATAGGTATGCATGCACTCTTACCGCCAAGGCAAGCGACGGCAAGAGTGCATGCTATTAGACAAATATAAGCCAAATTTTTTTTTTTTACTTTTTGTTAGCAAGAAATGATTCAAAACGATATTTATGAATTACTACGTGAAAACTGTAGGGGGAGGGAGGGATCTTGGAATATGCTACTCGTGGTCACCGCGAGGGGGGAAGGGGGGAAATTAAAAATTGCAAAAAGTGGACCACATAGTATGGGTATGTTCCCTTATAACACAGATTACACCAAGTTAAGTCAAGATATTATGTTACATGATGACAGATAGATGCAGGCTGCCCAAGACTGGGATGGTTGGTGATCCTTGAGGGGTAGCATTAGTTCAACAGTGGATGGCGATAGGCTGATAATGATGTTATGTTACAATATAATCCTACAAATTAAGTATGCTTATGGTCCTTATCTATGTGGTAAGATTTGACATCTTTTAAAAAGATATGTGAAATAAGGTGAAGGTCACATAAAGTAATAAAAAAATCTAGTTCATAAGTATTTCAATTACCTACAAACACATTTTAAATTATATTGATACAATGTGTAATATCACTTGAGCAGAAAAATTAGATCAAATATGAATTAAAAAACAAAGATGTACCAAATGTTGACACAAATAAAGGTAGATTAAGTATTAAGATCGCATAAAGCCGAGTACAAGTTTATTATTATACTCATTGTGATTAGGAGCTCTGAAGGCAGAAGATAGAGCGGTATCACACATAGATGGACTGTTCATATGAAAGTAAAGAGCTCACAAATGTTAGAGGAAGCAAACAAGGCGCTATCGCATATGGTTGGTTGACAGAGAAAGAAGATTATTTGGTTTTGGATCTCTCTCTGTTCTTGTCACTCACAAAACAGTCTTTCTCTGTCTATCAACAGTACACTACCACTTACAGAGGAATATACAGTTTGCTTCCTCTATTCCTATTATCTTTATATGTGAAAGACCCATCCATCCCCTAATTTGTACACTGTGAGACGGGTACTAGCAGATAGATATAATCCTCTCCACATCCAACCCTGATGCTGACCTGATCTTCAGACATGAGGGACTGATATAACCTCTCTTTGGATGGACAAAAAAGTACTAATTGTCACTACTGACATAACAGTTAGTACTTATAAGTTACAAGTGTTACAAGTAACTTTTAATTACAGAAATGGAATATTTTTTAACAACATTAGTATTACAAATTATATAATAATGTATAATATATCAGCAGTTACTAATGCCCCATTCAAACTTCCACCCCCCTTTTGACCTCCTTAAAGGATGATTTATTGGATAAAAACTACCCTATGTCCTTTCTAAATCGGTTCAGTGGTTTGAGTGTGAAGAGGTAACAGACGGACAGACAGACACACTTTCACAAAAATTAGAATATTAGTATGGATACCAATTAGCAGGTATTACAATACTTTAGTGATTGTTAGAAATAGTCAGTATTAGATTTTCTATTTTATGTTTATAATTCATACTAATATTATACATGCAAAAGTGTGTCTGTCTATAGATCTATAATCCTCTTCACGCTTAAACAGCTGATCCTATTTAGATGAAATTTAGTTTAGAGATAGTTTGAGTATCGAAAGGACATTGGTTAGTTTTTATCAAAGAAATCATTCTTTAAGGGGTTAAAAGAGGGGTGGAAGTTTGTATGAGGAACCAATAACTACTAAACTGATTCAGTTGAAATTTATTATGGAGATAGTTTGATTCCAGTTGCCGCGGCAAAAGCTAGTACTGTTATATACTTAATATTACATATTATATTTTTTTAAAGAATGGCAAGTTCATTCTTTTCAATTACTTTTTTAGTAGCCAGTATTCAATAAAAGACCAAATCTGCTTAATAATTTTTTTAAACAAGGAGTCAAATTTATTCTGCACTGCACTGATTTCCGATAAAAAGCACTTAGCCGTCTTATAATTTTTTTTAGTAAATTTAACATTAAGCCACTAAGCCAGTAATATTCCATTACGAAAAAAATATCGATTTTGCTAACCTTGGAGATTTAATTATTGATCGTGACAAAAAAAAAACAAATTTCTAATTATTCTCAATTAAACGAAGTTTGACACCAGTCAAGATCATCGAGTAGCACTAAATTCTAAAAAATGATATTGCCCAATTTAAATTTAGAACTTAATTTTAATTATATGGTATGGTTTCGCGTATTGATTTGGTTGTAATGCAATAAAATACGAGATGTTCATTAGTTTAATAAAATGAAATGATGCAAATCATTTCAACTTTGACGAGCAACCAATTGCGCATTATGATATGCGCAGTAACATTCAATATTTTTGATAATTTTGTTTACCACAATCAATTCTGCTGAAACCGGTAACGGGAAAAAGTGAAAAGCACTTCAATATTAATTCTTATAAACGTGTAACAACCACTTAAGGGCCCACAGATTGAGATAGAATATTGAATTCTCATCGTAACCATGATTTTTAACACGTATGCATTCCACGTGGAATGATTCTTGTGAAAGATGTGCCAGACATAGCCCGTTTAAGAATTATAAAGAATGCAACAAAAAATTCTTACCTCAAATTACGTTCAGTAAATTAAATTAACCGTTTTCGCCTTCACTACAACGTTACGTTCTCACTTTAACACACAAGTGTTATCAATTAACAACAGTTGTGCTGTTCTGAATGTCTTATATATAACTGGAACACTGAAAACACCGGCAGAATGTAGTGAATGCTCTACAAACGACTACAATAACCGGCAGTACGCGAGTTACTGCTACTGCTGATAGAATGAACAGTCGGTCAGTATTGGTAGATTAGTAGGCAGATTGTATGGGATTGATCTCTGAGAATGAATGAAGAATGAACTAAAAAGTCTGAACAACGATTTCATTGGTCAACTTCTCTGATTGGTGTTTTAAAGATTTTAGTGCTGCCATATAAAATATTTTTTTTTTCTTTATTCTTTTTCGAATTGATGAAAATAAAAAAAAAAGTCTAGATAAACACAATAAAATACAATCACACAAGTATAAATAAAAACCAACATAAATAAATAACAATTCTATTGTTAGAATAAAGACAGACTGCAACTAACGTTACTGTCAGTGAGGAATATATCGGATATTATGGTAACATTTATTTTGACGTCAGTCAAACTAAGTAAAGTCGAACATACATTGAATTGAATTTTAGATTGGACTACAAAAGAAATTAATCTTAGGGTTCACAAATGCACAAACTGTATAAAATAGTAGTTTCAGTATAATGTATTGTAAATAGCAACAGCCTTTAATAGTCCACTGGTGGACATACCCTTTTTCTTAGAAAGGAGGTTTTGTTCCTACTATACCCACTCATTATCTCTACAAAATAATTTCGATGTTTCACACTTGCCAGATTTTTTAAGTTACATCACACATTACCTCAAAATATTTATATTCCAGGAATTTGATTCTTAATTATTACGAATAGATTGAAGATTGAAATACCTACCTAAGTTTATTTTACATGATGAAATTATTGATGGTTAAATAACGTATTTGTCAAATGACAGCTAACATGCAGCGACCGAAGCCAATAATCACTAATTACTAATTACTTTCCTCTTGCATTTTTTTAAATCTTTTTGCTAAGTTATATTAAAGAAAATAATATTTTAAACTATATTTGAAGCCGAAATGCAACAGCTATAATGCATCTGAAGTAACGGTTGTGTTTTATTTGATGTAAAATGAATATTTTAAGTGTGACCTACGCCTTATTTCGTATTGGGAGTCATTCGAATGCACCTGATAAATCTCATTCTTCATTCAGTCAGTCAAACGTTTTCGCGCGAAAGTGCTAGTCGTTTGTAATAATACAAGAATTATTTTCGTAAATAGTCTCCAGACATTAAAACAACAAACTTACAAATATCGTAAGAGGGTTTTAATCGTAGGCGATTTATTGAATATTAAACAAACTTTTGTCTGAAAATATTATAACTGCAGGGTAATATTTTTGCAGTACATACAAATAAGAAAATCATTGCGTTTTCATCATTAAAGCACTCGGTACTCCCTATAGGTAATATTTACTTAGAAAAATGAGTTTAAGCCGTTTGTATAGTGTTGTTAGATGCGATTTGGTGAAAGTTCAATCCTCCAGTGCGTTGGTTTCGAAACTTTTGGTACCTTATGGTACGAGGGAAGTGAGTACAGCAAGTACGCACCGAGCGAGTATTGCACAACACACTTCGAAGCCAGACTGGAACAGAGCTGTAAGTGAGGCGGAGAAGATCGTAGGTTATCCTACGTCCTTCCTGAGTCTTCGATGGGTGCTGAGTGATGAAATTGCTAACGTAGCGCTTCATTTGCGCAAATTAGTCGGCAGCAATCATCCTTTACTGAAGACAGCTAAGTATGTTTGAATTGATTTACTGCATTAACTTCCTATAACGTGCGTGTGGTGACGGGTTAAGAATACGGAGTGTCACCGCCCTTTTTTATCCTGTGGGTAGCGTAAGAGCTGAACTAAGTGAGCAAACTATGCAGGACAATAGCACTGCCAGTGTGCACGCCAAAACCTCCTTGCTAAGGAGAGGCCTATGTCCAGCAGTAGACTATTAAAGGCTGTTGTTAATGATGACGATTACCTTCCTTATGTTTTTTACCACCATTTTAAGGGAACTTGTTTTTGTTTAATCTTAAATATTCACATTACATAGCATATTTTTATACTGTTTATTTTATCTGAAACGAATAAACAAACTACTTACCTATAATCGAAAAATAATAACCAATTCCCATTGTACCAAGGTATACGACAAGCTGACTCGCATCAGCGTCTCTCAAAATAAATAAAATTTGCCCGTTTTACAACAATTTTTTTTCGGCTCCTATTGTTGATAGCGTGGTGTTATACAACATGTAGCCATCCTCGATACATGAGCTGTTTAGTATCAACAGTAAAATAATTTTCAATGCGAACTAGTAGTTCCTGAGATTAGCGCGTTCAAACAATTAAACAAACTCTTTAGTTTAATTTATAATATTAGTACTTATAGATTAATTAAAAGAAAAACTATGTTGGCCTTTGTTCATTTGTCTTTTACAAGTACTTACGATTCCGTGGTTCTCATAACCGTTAATGACATATTTCAGATCCAAATGACTTTGCATTAGCACCAGGTTTCTGAACAAGAGAAGTCACCTATAAAACAAAGGAATCCTCAACAACACACGAAATAAAATGCTCATTATAATATATGCCTGTTGGTCTAGTGGTTAGGAATGCTGATTGCTAAGCCAGAGGTAGTGGGTTCAATTTCCACCTAGGAAAAGTATTGTGTGATGAGCACGAAAATTAGAACTTGTTATGTATCTAAATGCAATGTATCCTATCACATCACATCACATCACATCAACAGCCTTTAACAGTCCACTGCTGGACATAGGCCTCTCCTTAGAAAGGAGGTTTTGGCCTACTATGCCACGCTGGCCAGACGGGTTGGTATAGGGTTTGTGTCAAGTTTTCCTTCTCTATGCAGTGCTGTTGTCCTGCGTATTTCGCTCCCTTAGTCGCCTCTTACGACACCCACGGGATGAATAGGGGTGGTGACACTCTGTATTCTTAATCCATCACCACACGTATATATGTATGTATGTATGCATTATACACGGTAACACAGTTTTATCCATCACGGCAAAGAGAAGGAAAACAGGCCCTATACCAACCCGTCGGCCCAGCGCGGTATAGTAGGCCAAAACCTCTTCTAAGAAGAAGCTTATGTCAAGCTGTGGACTATTAAAGGCTGTTGATGATGATGGTATTCTACAGCACCCACAGCTCTTTATACACAATACCTATTTAATATATATAAGTTTTTAATATTTTCCTTTATAATTGTTAACGTAGGGCACCACTTGCACAAATTGATCGGCACCGATCATCCTTTACCGAATACAGTAAAGTATGTTCGAATTAATTCACCGTATAAATTACTTTCTAGAATGTATAAGACGAAAAAACTACAAAAGTTACATGCGCAATGCGTATTAAATACATACGTTGGTACATAATTCGATAAAACACTAGCAATAAATCACACATATATATTTTTCAGTGAAACAAAAACTCGAATAAATAACAGTCTTGTTAATATTCATATCCATATTAATATTATAAATGCGAAAGTGTGTCTGTCTGTATGTTACTCTTCACGCATAAACCGGTGAACCGATTTAGATGAAAATTGGTATAGAGATAGTTTGAGTCCCGGAAAATGACATAGGATAGTTTTTATAGAAACCATCGTTTAAGGGGGTGGAAAGGGGGCTGAAGCCATGAAATTTTGTATTTGGATAGTTTGATTCTTAAGGAAGGAACGAACCTTTTTACTGCGATAACCGTCATACACGTATGGAAGTTCTTTATTTTCAAAGTTAGAAACGCGAAATAAGAAATATTGACGCGAGCAAAGCTGTGGCCAATAGCTAGTACGTCGTATGGGAGCCATATTTGTACATTTCTGGCGACATTTAAGGCAACAGGAGTTCCGCTTTAAGTTGATGTGATGCGAGACGAATATACATTTTAGTCGTCCGTCAGATTGACTTTTAGTAGTGACTTAAGATTCACTTCAGACAATGTTTCAATATCCGTTTGTAATTGTTAAGACAATTTTTTAACCGTTTTCAAAAAGGAGGAGTTTATCAATTCGGCTGTTTATATATTTTTTATGTATGTTCGGGCATAACTCCATCACATATAGACGGCTTTTCAAAATTATTTTATTGTTCGACAGGGTTTTATGTCGAAATGTTCCCATTTAAATTTCATATAGATCTGATGATGAGTTTCGGAGACAGACACCGGAACTCTTCAAAAACTGTTTGAAGTCGGTTTAACTATAAAAAAAGGATTTATTCGTTTTTCAAACCTAATTGAATTTTTGTCAGTCATATATGTAGCAGATAGTCGCTAAACCGCGAACTTTCGCCGAAAAACGATACAATATTATATCAGGCGCTAAATCCCGCTTTTTAGATTATTTAAACGATCGCGAACCACTCGCCAAAATGCGATATGTGTTAGTCGTAAAATCGCTGATAGCCGATGTCAAAAGTAGAATGTTGGCACTGCATCTAAAAACATAGTTGTAAAATTGTAGCCATACCATATACTATCCATGCCTTTCTACATCTTTAAGCAATAACCTCTGTTATTGCCTAAAGATTGGAAGAGATTGGCCTTTGCCAAAGCAGAACCGCAGACTATTATTTCATTTGGGAAAGTAAACGTACAATTTGAAAGGTTATTATTTTCATTTGACCATCTTCACTACATAAAAGTGTAAATTATAGGTAATAACAATGAAAAGTAATATGCGACTTAACCACTGACTTTCAATTTTTATGAAATACGTTCCTATTTAATAGTGAATAAAAGTTAAATTTATATTTCCACATTTACATAGTAAACTCATAAAGATCAGACAAAACGGGCAAAATGAACTTCTTCTCATTGTACTAAAATATTGTTCGTTGTAAGGGTTTCTTTTAGGTACATAATAGATTTATAATTATATTATAGGAGATACGTACGAATGATCTTCAGATTAAATCAGAATTTTATTTTGCAGAGCATGAGTAATTATATAAAAGTTCTTACAATGATATCAGTTTCATCATATTCTAAAATTAATACAACTAACTGTGAGGAACGGGTATCATATTCCTCCAACGCAAAGGGAGGATTCTCTGACCAGGCGAGGTGATCATGCCTGGCGGACCGCGGCCCAACGGTTGATGTTGATAAGTTGTATATATGTAATCGGTGAGAGAATTCTTTATATCGCGATACAGGATTAGCAATTCTCATTCAGAAGTTACTCAGTAGTTCGGTGTGTCTTCATTGGATAGCGCTGTAGTATGTTTCTGTTCCTTTGTGTGTGGGAGTCGCCACAATAAATTAATATAAGGATTAGAATTGAGGAAAATCACAAATATAAATTTTTGTTTTAGTTATCACTGGAATATAAATTAAACATGGTTCATTGATAATTCGATATACACATGTCATATATTTACACTAAAGTACTATCTACATCATCACTATCTGAGATATTTTGGTAAAGGATTGTATAATCCATACAAAGTGCGCTCCTATTAAAAAGCTGTTTTATTTCTGGGCATATTTACATGTCACGACTCTGAATATAAAGGTTTTAAAAAAAACTATATTTTTGCGTTCAAGTACCATATATAATATATTCCAAATATGCAAATACGACAGTTTCCAATGCGTAAAAGCATGGTAGCGTTAGAATTTTAAAATTGATATAATATGATTTACAACTATCTGTGTCTCTGAATATTGCCCGTATGTATTTCTTTTGCACCCTCAATGCTGGTAAATCCAAAATATAATGCTGATGCTTACGTGAAATTAAAAATTCGCAAAAGATAAAGAAGGAAATGTCAAGAAATGATATTCAACAACGCTCGAGTCTAGATTTTCAGTTACATCACACATGTTATAATCATTGGTTTTAAATTTTAATATACAAAAGAAACATTTTCTATAAGTAAATATCTGAGTACTCATAGCTAAAGATTAAATAGTCATAGACATGCAGAAATATAAAATAGAAGTATTAGAAACTTTATTTTACTGCTTTTTAACATCATCATTAAATCTATAGTGTTTTGCGTCATATTCTACACACTTATTAAGTCAAAATATTGTTTTTTTTTTCAAACAAACATGAACAAGGAAAGCGTGTTAAACTTAACTGCAATATCAATTATTTTCATTCATACATAAACCCAAATAGCCGACATATTTAGGTTAACTAATTATCTTAAAAAAAATCTAAAAAAGAACTATCGTCTTCAATGACCCTTCATTACGATAAGTTATTGTATTAAACTGTATTTTTATTTCTTAATTTTCCATCTTTAAGGTGGTATTTTTTTGTTTAAATATTTATGGGACTTAAGGGGAATTATACCTTCTCAAATAAAAAAAAAACTAATTCGGTTAATAAATGACGGAGTTTGTATGAGATTAAGAACCGATTTTTTCAAGTTGGTTGAACAAAGCTCAATCTAACTACTATTTATATGTAAGAACTATAATTTGTAATGTAAGAACAAATATTAACCGAAACCATTGTAAGATTTCGTGAGTCGCGATTTTAACGCGTCGTTGCATTTATTGCATTGCGTGTTGTTTATCCAAGCGCGCGATTTAAAATCATCTACTTGCCTAATATGTATAGCAGTAATGCAAATATTCTATATTTATCTTTTTAGTCTTCGGACTAACGTTCAATAATCCATACATATAAAGTTATTTGCCTTAACTGATTGATTCATGAACGCAGAGCCCAAACCGCTGGGATTACAAACATGAAATTTTGGCAGCTAAGAACGGATTTTTAGAAATTTCTCTCCTAAAGGGTAATAAGGGAGAAACGGTTGTGTGGAAGTCCGTCATTTTCAAAGTTAGAAATACGAAATAAGAAAAAAACACGGGATCGAAAACGCGCGTCTAAGCTAATGAACCATAAATTCAATTTACGTGTGTCTTTAAACTAAAGGGCTTTATAAAGCCCTTCTATCCATATGGACCTAGGTGCAAATTCTTTAGAAATTTGAACACAGAAAGTGGTTTTGCACTCTTTAAATATCTTCAAAGGTAACTTACCAAAAAGAATGTATATTGTATAGATAGCTATTGCGTATTATAGTGTATACACCACAAGTCCCACTGGCTTTGCAGGGTTAATACCTAGTGTATAATATACGCAATATACATTTTTTATAGTGTAATCTTATGAGATAGACTTGTAACGTTACTGTATAGTAATAAACTTATGAAGAGGAATACATTGATTAGGCACGCGTAACACGCCAATGAAGTTCTCAGTCGGTATTATTTTTTCCGGTATCGTCAACAACAAACAACGTCATTTTTTCAGTAAAGATAAACCAAATCTTATTACCTAAATTAAACAGCTAAGCCTTCCCTATGAATCACTTTGTAAAATAATAAAACCTGTATGAAAATTAGGCTTACCTACTGCCTACTTTTTTCAGTTTATCACGTTCAAATAGCCAAAAAGACACATCTTTATTTTGTACTAGCTTTATCGGTCATCGCGGTAAGTTGCCTATGATAGTGAAAGAATTTTTAAAATCGGTTTAGTGGTTTAAGTGTTAAAGCGTAACAAACAAACAAATTCACTTTCACATTTATAATATAAGTATGGATATGCTCCGTTTGGTTCAGGTGGGAGCCTCATGACCTACAATTAAGGTCTTTAGCAGCCAACAGTCCCAGTCAAATGAAAAAAAAATGTACATTAAAATCAAAAATATCCATATGTATTTCTATCTGACATGTATATTGTTACCCAGGAATCTAATCTACAATGGCAAGAACAACATGCAGGCGTGGGGTCTTATTGTACTCCTCGTGTCAAAAGCTGCAGGTCACAGTCCAGAGATACCAGACATGGAACAGGACAAAGCTGCTGGAGTTTTGCACAGGTTTGTTTGAAGAATTTAAAAAATGCCAACAATAGCAGTTTCCTATTAGAATCGACTTTTTCGTCGAATACTGAAATAGTATATTGAGACAATGACTCTGAGTCGAAAATTATTGAAATTTTCTGCCAGAAAATTCTTTTATTTTTTTAATTTGTCATTTTTTTGTTAAAAATGATGAAAAATGATATCACAACAAGTAAACAGAACATTTTCCCGTTTTTTTAATAAATACCAATGTAATTAATCAAACAGCCAAAGCGCGCGGGGCCTCCCCTCAGGCCGCCAACTTGTATTAGCGTGCGTAGACTGTTTGAACGGAAGACACATGTAGTTGTAACTTTTGTGCGATAAATACGGGGAATGACGCCTTAACGTTTGACAGCTGATTGCAAAAAAATTAAATGATTTTCGACTTAGAATGATGGTTTGAATACACCGTTTCAGTATTCGTTACTCTCGATGTCTCTTACACCCTGTATAGGCCGATTCATAAGAAATCACTCTTAAGTAATGCTTTGTAACCGCAAATTTAATAGTCATTCAATATACGTAAAGTTTCCAATCTGAAATAGTCAAGGTTTGCCATTATTTTTTCCGAACTACCTTTCGCTTGTTAATCAACTTCACAATAATAGCTTCTTTAATATAACTTTAGGTCAAGCGACCTTATAAGAAATATGTTGTAATTTTTGTTTATCTGCAGTAAATACATCACTTTGTGTGATCCATAAATTGTCGTTCTGGGTCTGCGTGTTCTTTGTGGACGTTTCATAAATGTATGGGAAGTAGGTACCTCGCGACACAGGGTATATTCTTAGTGCGGGCCTACCAATAATAACAGACACGTCTCTGAGGTTTACGTTGTGCAATTACGTTGTCTGCAAGAGGGGTAACAACCAAAGAAATTCATCGGTCGTTAGGTAAGTATTAAACGACTTTTTTGCGATATATCTCAAATTATATCAATTTTGTTCCAAATTAACATTAAACATTTTAAGTAAATGATATTTTAACCTGCCGTAGGTTAAAATATCATTTACTTAAAATGTACTGTTCTATTTCTATTACCAATCATAAGGATAGTTATTCAATTTCAGAAAAATGCAATAATTTACACTTTTACTACCGAAATCACATGGCGAATGACCAACAAATGAACTTTTAATAATAAACGTGCGGAAAGGAGTCGTGCAAAATCAGGCCTAGAGGCGGCCATAAAGTTGATGATATTTAAAAAAAAATACATGGATTATTTCTGTTTTATTGTCATTTTTGTTATGAGTAGCTCTGTATAAGTCTTCAAAAACATTTTGCTTTAATAAGTTTTGATTTTGATTAACTCTCCTAGTTCGAAAGGGTATTGTCAGTCCTAAGAATAGGAGGGTATTACTACTCTTCAGATTCTGCCTTTCTCGCAAGCAATTAAAAAGCAATTGAAAATTTGAATTTTTTTATTTCATAGACAAAAAATCTAGGTTTACTATTTCCTATATACTCGTATGTAGGTCCATATTTTTATAGGATAGGTTTGCCAAACACTTATTTTTTTTTATAATTATACTGGTTCAGAGTACAGAGCATAAGCACATTATTTACACAATTCCAATTTAATTCCATAATTACCGTGTAAATAATAAGAATCACTATATTTTGTAACCTTTAGTAACCTGTTTCGCGAGTTTTAAAATTGCAACAATAAATGTCGGAAGGGCATCGATCGGTGGAAGGTTCGCCAGTGAACTTACCGGTCACTACTTCCTTCTCCGATCATCGACTTCAACCATTAATCAACTTCTTTAGATTGACGTCCTGAATAGTTCCGGTATGAATAATTATAAAATTTCTTCTGTCGGCCTTTAATGTGCCAATTGTTTGATGTCGCTACACGAAATAGTGATCATAACCCTGTGTTTTTTTAGTCTCAAACAAACATGTGTATATATAACTCGAAACGTTTGTTTAAGGCACTTTAGGACCAAACGGCTAGATTGCGTAGTGGTTTGTGTAACGAAACTAAACGGTTGCGGGTTTGATTCACGCCAAGTCAAGTATTTCAAGTCAATATATATAATATGTATGTATTTACAAAAAAGTACCCATAGTACAAGCTCTGGCGTTGTGTGAATTTGGTAGAATATTATTGTTAGATAGATAAGAGGAAGGAAGGAAAAGGAAATTGCTTATATCTAAAAAAATATGGGAAAACAAGTATTAGCTCGAGTAAGACAGGGTTTAGCTTGTCTTTCTAGTTAAAAACGTAACTATGCCGTTCTAAAAATACTGCCCCGTAACATAATAAGATAACTGTGTACAAATGGTTAAGGGCCTGGTTTAAAATTAACGAACTACAAAGTAACGACTTCACCACAGCCATACACCAAAACCACCACTGGTTTTGGTTAATCAGTGAAATGTTAAAATATTAAGCGTGTATTTTGTTTGCTTATTTTAGTCACCACAGACATGTGTTTAATTTAAAATTTAAATTTGAAGCCACGTCTTCCTGAAAAAGGGTATCCTTAAGAGTCCTATTTTTCTTTTGAGGAGCGGAAAATTTAAAGTTGGTGAGTAGGTTGCCACACATTGGATCCATATGAATCACAGAGCCGTATCTGTTCACATAGACATAGAAACGGGGCGTCAATGCCGTTAGCTACTTTCTATAAATACATGAATAACTGAATGTGTTGACACTTCGGCGTTTACAATTGACACTTCAGAGAAAGTGAGACCAGTGTAATGATCCACCAAACAGTTAAAAAAGAATCTTCGTGTTCTATGCATGACTAGATATTTATTTTCATAGTGCAAATGTTATATGAAGGTACATATTCAACATGTGCAATACGCTTGGCAACCCTAACTAAGACACCAATTTGAGCACAAGAAATTTAAACATCACGGAAGCAATACAACACAATGGATGACTTTAGTGCGACCAGAGTGTGGATACAAATGTCAGTTTTGCTCTGTCCTTTTTTCACATGTGGAAATCGCCTTCGGGTTTCCCTTTCACCACAGTTAACAGCAAGCTATGCTGGCTTTAAATCGACTTTAGTCACTAGTTGTTTAGACTCGGGTCGCCCTGGATAGGAAATCCTTGAGAAACTCGGCAGACTTTATCACCTAATAAACCACAGGTGGTCCTATGTTGGAGTTCTGACATTCTCGTCAACATCGGATTTTTTTTTTTCAGTGCCCATTCTTGAAATGCCTTCAAATCTTCATCCCATACGACACAACACCTAATCTTCTCTTTTTCAACTTCTATTTTTGAACTTAGTCATCTTGTCAACAGCCAACGCGCTCTCGCTGAAGTGACCGAGATGATTCGCACATCCCACTTGGTCCACAAGGGGTTGGTGAATATGAACTCTCGACAACCAATCGCGGCTGAACCAAACGACATGATGTTCGGCAACAAGATTGCTTTACTCAGTGGGGACTACTTGCTGGCCAACTCTTGTTCGGAACTAGCAAATCTGAGGTAAGAATAATAATGTAGTAGGTATTTATTTATTATATACTTTTTAAGATAAATTTTATTGGAGAACGGAACGGCATTATGATGGCATTTTCTTAAAATAAAGAACAATTAAAATTTAAATACCTCCTAATTATTTTTGACAATTTCGAGATAGTGCGACGAGTCAATTTAAAAAAATATACAGTTTCTCTATGGCACCGGAAAATACCACTAATCTTTGTTTAACTAAAACTTTTAATCTTTGTTTAAAAACGTGTTAGAAAGGTTGAACAACTACATCATAAAAAAAACTATTTTAACTATATCACTCATACAGCTCATATACAAAAATTAATTCTTCTATGAAATCGGTAATCGTCTTGTTTTTTTAACCCAACCTTTAGAAAATGCATTCTAACGGTTTGGTAGAAGTAGAACATAAAGCCTATTGGACTCAGTTTTACGGTTCATTAGACAAAAAAAAATCAGCTTTGCACAACGTGACTTTCAAAACTTATAACAGAAAAAGGAATGGTTCTGTGGTACAAATAATTTTCGCTATCTCGTAAGATAATTTATTGGTACATAGTTATATGCAGATAAAGGATTATATAATCCCAATTGAGGTCGTAGTCAAATGTCATATTTGATTTCTTGAGAAGATGCAATGGATTTTCTCAGCTATGAACATTACATTACGATTCATTAGCGGAGCCTGTGATAGGCGCACAAAGTCAGTATCTTACAAAGTCAAGTTGAGAGTACTCACCTTTCATTTCTCTGTTTAGTAGTAAATACTAAATAATTCTGTTTCATTCCATTAAAAATTACACTTTACACACAAATTTACAACGATATTAGTCAAGCGTATCTTAATCTTCCGTGTGGTGACGGACCAACGGTGACGAACTAAGAATACGGAGTGTCGCCACCCCTATTCATCCTGTGGGTCTCGTAAGACCGACTAAGGGAACAACTTCGAAGGACAACAATTGCACAGAGAAGGAAAACTTGACACAAACCAAATATACCAACCCGTCTGGCCAGCGTGGTATAGTAGGCTAAAACCTTCTTTCTAAGGTCTATGTTCAGCAGTGGACTATTAAAGGCTGTTGATGCAGATGATTGATTATCTTAATCTAGTAATTATGAAACATACTTTAACCCTCTCAAAAACGGCCATAATATGTAATGAATTTCTTCCTGTCATCTGGTTTGTAGTAGTCCTAAGAGCTACAATATAGGATTCCTTTAAGTGGGGCACAAAAGGTTTTACCAGGTCGGTTAAGTTTAAATAATACCCTTTAAAATTACCAGCAGTAAAAATGTCCATTGCGGCGATAAATACTTATCATCAAACACATCACATTAAGCATGCGTTGTTATTTTAATCCCATAAAGATTAATAAACAGCCATATCTTAAAAATAATACGCAGAATTAAATTTTTAACTTTACAGGTTCTAGTTGCATAAATAATTTACACGCATTATTTAGTTAACTTTACTAAATTAAAAATTAATTACAAGTGCGCATATAAATGCATGTAAACCATTAATGTAGTAATAAATTACAAATTAACATTTAGCGTGCAACTTAAATGACTGTGTTGGCACACTACTATCCATTTTTACTAAGAACATTTTACTTAATTCGTGAATTAACGCAGTTTACAACTGTCCTAAAAGGTATTTTCGTAGTAAAGTATTAAATAACCAACGTTGACTGTGATGTGATTATATATCGTATTGTAATTGAAAATTGAATCGGTAATCTGCTGGTCTTAGTAATACTTTACTATTTGACTACGAAAATACCTTTTCTGACAGTTTTGAGGTAGAAAGTTGATCGGAACTGAATTGTAACCAAACTTTTATTTCGAGAATTGGTCTTTTGGTCGCAACGTCAGTCTTCATAGATATTAACTGCGTTAATTCGTCTTAATATACACGGATGATACTAATATGCCTATATGCAACTATAATATAATAGTTATAAATAAGGTTTAAATTTTTTATTTTGAATCATCAAACAAGAAAATACTTAATGAAAATAGTTCAAAAGACTTTGACGTCATACCAACGCTATTTGTGTACTAAGTTATTCATTTAAGCTGATTTTAGACATTAACATGTATTCACAGTGACACGTTTGATCTTCCACACAGGTGAAAGATCGTATTAGCGATTGTAAGGGGGAAGGAAATCCAATAGTTATGGATGTATGAATAAAGATAATAAGTTAAGAGAGGAATTCCAAGCACAGGTTCCGTTTAGTGAATGTAACTGACAAGAATGATTGCAAACATGATTACTACTATTTGTCCGTGTGGTAACGGATTAAGAATACACAGTGTCACCACCATATTCATCGCGTGGGTGTCGTCACTGCAGAGAGTAGGTAAACTTGAAACAAACCCTTTTTTTTTTTTTTTTTTTTTTTTTAACGTGTGGAAATCCCCTCGGACCGTCACCCCTCCGGGGTTTGCGGCGGGGTGGTGTGTCGGACTCGGACCGACTAAAACCACACGGTGTGCCACTCTGCGCCTGTAACAGGAGGGATCCGGGAACAGCTGTTGTTAAGACATCCGGACCCCTCCTAGCGCCAGCCCGCTCCTGGTGCGGGCTCCGTCTCAATGTAGATGTTCCTCTCTTTAGGCGACGTCCGGCACACGCGGACGCCGCCCCCTCGCGGCTGGCCAACTAATGCGGGTGGAGGGGAAACCCACCCCGTCCACCCGCGGCCACACTCAGGGCGGCATGAGGCTGTGATAGGCGGGCCTCCGCCGCCCGGTTCGCCGGCGGCGGATCGGGTCCGAGTGGAGGTAGTCCTCCCGGGCCCTCTCCGCCGCCTCCTTCCGCGAGATTACTACCTCGCAGAAGGTTGCGACCGCGGTAAAACAACTGTCGCTACCGGCCATGGAGCGTACTACGGCCGGTAGCGAGAGATCCACTCCGATGACTGCAGTGAGGGCCCGGCGCTGCGCCGCCCATGCGGGGCAGACCGCCAGCGTGTGCTGGGCCGAGTCCTCACTGCAGTCGCAGTGGTGGCAGGCGGGACTCAGTTCCCTCCTTGCGACCGTGTGCAGGTACTTTCCGAAGCAACCGTGCCCGGAAAGCACCTGCGTCAGCCGGAAGGAAAGGGTCCCGTGCTGCCGCCCTGCCCACTCGGCGATGACCGGCTGGAGAGCCTCCACGGCGGCGAAGCCAGCGCGTGGAGTCTCCAGCCGGAACGACCAACGAGCCATCGTGGCTCGGCGAGCGGCTTCGCGCCACTCGCGCACATCCTCGGGCGGAGGGCGAAATCCGCTCTCCGCCCGGTAGTCAGCCACTCGCCGATAAACTTCGGCGAGCACTTCCGCCTCCAAATCTCACGGGGGAGTTCCGGCCAACGCGCACGCCACCTCCGTCGAAACGGTGCGGTAACCGCGTATGGCTCTGACCGCCATTACCCTCTGAGGGTTACAGGGTACATTGACCGGACAACCCCCGTGTACAGCCGTCTTGTCGCGACGCTCAAACCCAAACCAACCCGTCTGGCCAGCGTGGTATAGCATTAGCAAAAGAGAATGTAAACTTGACAACTTTGACACAAACCCTATACCAAACCATCTGGCCAGCCAGTAGGCCAAAATCTCCATTCTGAGGAGAGGCCTATGTCCAACAGTGGAATCTTAAAGGTTGTTGATAATAATGATGAAGACTACTATTTGTCCGTGTGGTAACGGATTAAGAATACAGAGTGTCACCCGGGTGTCGTAAGAACCGACTAAAGGGAGTAAACTACGCAGGGCAACAGCAATGAAAAGAGTAGGTAAAATTGACACAACCCCTATACCAAACCGTCTGGCCAAATCTTAAAGGCTGTTGAGGATGATGACTACTATTTGACATTTGACACTACTATTTCTGATAAATACCTGAATTGAAAGACATGAGTCTACATTCAGGAAGCAAAGTCGAGGCTACGAAAGTAAAATTCTTTGGTTTCAGAATCACCAAAAATCTTACAAAAAAGAAGTGTTCAAAAATATAACCATGCCAAGCATAGGAGTTAGCACAAATATGATCATAAAATTGCTCAGTAACTTGTAACGCATTTGTGACTCCTGACTTGCAGACGTTCGTGGGCGGCGATAGTCACTTTCCATCAGGTGACCCGTCAGCTCGTCTGCCCCCTCTAACATAAAAAAAAACTTGCCCATACGCATACACTTGACCATTAGTGGCAAATTGCGCGATTGATGCACTAACCGGCGACAACGTAACTTTGAACGGTGTTATGCAACACGAACAACGTTTAACAGTGAAAGTTTGTTATAACTTGCGGTTGTACTGTGTGCTATATTCATTGTGGGATGGTTAAGCCGAATTCTTTTCAGTAACTCGACTCTGTATGTACAATGAGTTTTTTTATGTCTGTGCGGAAATCCCTTCGGATACCACCTACCGGTGGTTATGTCGGACATGAACCGACCAAAAACCGCACGCCCGCACGGGCACCAGAGCCGGGGAACCAGGCGTTACCTAGGAAAGAAATCCCTGGAACCCCGACGGACCCTGGGCCATCTACGGCTTGTAGATGACCGCCTCGTGTGTGGGAACCACGGTGAGCGCGCGCGCCCTTTAGGTTTATGAAGATAAACCTAAAGGGCGCGCGCGCTCTATAGCGCGTCGTGCCGCCAACCCGGCCTGCTTCTGTTAGGGTGACAGATGGCCTCACCTGTCATCCCCAGGCCTGCGCATTAAATTGACCCCTAATTTTTCAATAACGTCCATGGTTTTTATTGTGTACATATACCTAATTAAAATTATTGATTCTTAATCTGACAGTCTTGCCAGAGTGACCTGGCTGTTGATGGCTGGTTTTTCGCAATGGGACCCAGCGGGTTAGAAACCGACCCCTTGGCCTTGTGCCTTGAACTACAAGTATCTCCATAGAGCTCTCTTTCCTAGAGATGTGCTCAAAGAACTTCAGTATTCGATACTGCATAATCAACGATAACCTATTACCTAAACGGAGCTATTTGAGGAAGGAGTTATTAGTGCGTACCGCTGTCCAGAGTATCTTCAACAGTCGTCTCCAGCACCACATCTCTAAGGCGTCAATATTTTGGCGGTCTTGTTTCCTAAGTAACCAGGTTTCAGCCCCGTAAAGAAAGATTGGATATATAAGGCACTTCATCAAGCTCATCTACGTGTCATTTTTATTTCAATGCACTGTTTAGAAACGTAATGCGTTTAAGACGAAAAAATATATGGTTCAGGTGTCAAGTTGACATACAAACAAAATAAAGCAAAAACGAGGGAATGATGAAACAGTATTACTTAAGAGTACCCGAATACAGTTAAGAGCAGGTACATTCACTTTCCATTGATATGCTTTGTAAAGGTCCTCTTACATAACTTAGTCTTCAACCTCGCAATATCGCCGTATTTATGATGCATTTACAGTTTCATGTTGGTCTGTTTATCTGTTTGTCCGTTCGCGATTTAGATTACATATTTTTAGTATTGTAAAGAGAAGGAAAACTTGACACAAACCTTATACCAACCCGTCTAGCCAGCGTGGTATAGTAGGCCAATACCTTATTTCTAAGGAGAGGTGTGATTGTGATTCTTAGGTATTTCAAAAACATTATAATAGGTCTTTACCTATGAAATTGCCGTTTTGTATGCAATAAGTGAAATTACTTATTTTTTCAAACTTTTTTATTTTTGTTATTCGAAGTAATCACCCATGCAATCGACGCATCTTTGCCAACGCATTGGCAGTTTATTGATGCCCTTCTTGTAAAAACCAGCTGGACGGGAGGCAACAAACTCTTCAAAGGCATTTTGTACTGCCTCTCGGGAATTGAATTTTTTACCCACTAAGCATTAATGCAGATGTGTACTGTGAAGAACTGGAGAGAATGATGGAGAAGCTTGCACATCTGCAACCAGCCAGTCAAAGCTGGTTGCTGGTTTGGTCTCGTGTGGAGTTATACCCCACCCTACAAGGCTAAAAATTCTAGTAACAGTTACGTAATAATTTACACACATAAGATGGGAAGAGTTAGAAATAAATCTGTTAAATAGCTTAGCGTAAAACCGGTCAAATGATTATACACCAATATATACATACAATTATATACATACTTACACATAACTAGTTTTCTATTTTGTTTTTGTACATTGTTTGAAGCACTGCTCAAATACTGCCTGAAATACAGTTGAGGATCTCTTTTAGGCTTTAGTCCCTGATAGTAATCCAGCAAAAGAGGTAAAGCTTTGGATTGGTAAATTCCTGTTCTTAAATAAAAAAAATTGTTAATGAGAATACCGCATTTAAATTACCTTGAAATAGGCATTTACTTTATAAAACTCTGTTCATATTCTTCCGTCTGATTGTCTTTTCATATTGAAGCGTAACTTTTCAATTACCAAAGAATTCAATAACCAGAAAGTAGAAAAACGTATAAACAAGAATAAAATAATAACCAATAAGCTTGTCTTTACTAGTTGTGCAGATTGTTAATTACGATGAAAAAGGTCCATTGGTTCGACGCAGAGAAGAAAGTTAAACCATGTTACAATAGTAAAATTATATGGAAAGCTGACTTCATTGTATGGTGGTAATAAATCAATATTGTTCACTACAGTGCTAAGCTGTAGCTAAGACAACAAATGCTCAGAAATTTAGGTGCTCCTTAGTGCTATGATTTAAAAAACATAGTTTATAAATTGTATGTTAGCCTATACATGTTTTAATAATGGTTCTTTCCTCCGAGTCATTTTTAAGGTATGCATGTAAGCATTTGAATTTTTGACGATAGATGTTTTTTTCTTTCTAAACTACCACGCTATTAAATATTTAAAATTGTTTACTTCAATTAAGTGATTCATTCAGATAAATTGACCCAAAAACAGCCGTCTTGTACAATAGACATAAGCGTAAAAAAATTAGTTTCATATCGTTTTAAACCATATACATGACAATAAGTGAGTGGGTTAAGTTTTCTTGCTTGACCCATTGACCAAGTGTCGAAACATCTTCACTTAGTCATTTTAAACCCAGTATAAGCATGCAAGCCTTCACGTACCTTACAAGAGTTGTCACTATTATACAAATAACAGTGTTCCGTGTGTCAAGATGGGGTGATGGCTCCGTGTTTGAATTGCTAAGCTAATAAAATAAAGGTGTGCTTTTGAGAATGTCACTCGCAATTGTTTTGTGTACTAACAAACGATACTTCTAAGAAAACTTCATGGCGAATGAATAGGCAATTTTTACCCGACTATTACATTACTATTACAGCATTATTTTTTCGAGTGGTTATATGTACCTACTTACATTTCTGTGGCACGCAGATTCGTCGTAACTGTGAAATACCTGGTTTTTGACATCATTTTATGTCTATAATTTTTTCCTTCAAAACCTATCGTGTGGGGTACTAAAATAAATATATTTAAAAGTAATTTGGAATAGAATGCTAAAAAAGACACAAAATACAATTAAGTTTGTAAATTCAAGTTACAGAATATCAGTCGGTGTTTTTGTGTTTTTTTAGTGATTAACTTGATGTCACCTATCATTTATACTATACCAATCTTATCCACTACTCTTAGCTATAAATCGGCTAGTCGCTCCCTGCTATAAGATGCACGTTTCTGCTTTAAGACAGATATAAGTTTCTTGTGCAACAGTTTCATTCATGAGCGTAGCAATAATTAAATTTGATTTGCTTCGCACACTCGTCGTTCAGAAAAGATTTCTTTTCTTCGAGCGCCAAAATTTAACTGGTTCCTTTGAATTAATGCTGATGAATGATTTAAGATGGTAAAAACAATATTATATAATATAATAATCCTTGGTATCCCTTGTTGTTTATGATCTAGTAAGAATTTGAAGGCAGAATGTGAATTTAATTTAACATTAGCTTACGTTCGTGTCTTCGTCTTTGATCTGTAACATTATCTTATTTTGAACCCACAGAAATCAAGAACTGGTAGAACTTATGTCATCAGCAGTCCGTGATCTCGCCGAAGCAGAGTTTCTTGGTGAAAGGGACGAACAGAACAATCCTTTGCCTTCCCGACCACTGCCAAAAGAGGAACGGCAGGTCGCTTCAGGTATACCAGAGAATTCATTTTTTAAACTAGTAAAGATGAGATTTGTAAATTTAATTTGTTAATGCAGTAACTAAGGTTAGTGAATTTTCTCTACGTGCATACTTCAATAGACAAAATTCCCAATTCCAAACTTAACTACATACTAAAAAAAATCTCTCGATGGTCATTGAATGATGAAAAAAGAAATAGACTTGAAATAAACTAAACCATTGATTCTTTGTTAATACTTACCGAACCTTAAAGGCAATAGATTTGATTACTAAACAAAAAGAAATCTGGTCACCTTGAAAAGTACATTATTACTGATAAATGTCAAAAACTGTAGAATTTTGCTAAAATCAGTAGTTATTTTAAAGCCAACAGCTTGTTATATGTACAAAGAACTATTTGTTATTCTGTGCTTTGAGTACAGATGTATGGTACTTGTGTTAACCTGCAATACAAAAACCGGTTACCAAAGTACTATACTTAGATTCAATACTAAGAGCAAAGATTCTTAAGTAAATTTATATATAGGCGTTTGCACATTACTCTGATCAAGTACATATTTAATAGGTTACAGGTTATTCAATTTGGCAGTGTAAACATTGTCCGTCTTCTCTAGAACAGTTTTTTGAGGAATGCTGAACATATTTACTAATTTACAACGGGGAAAGTGATTAACCGCTCAATCAATGTGTCTATTAGTATCGGTATGAGTTCGTTTTACGTTTAACCAATATTTATACGTACAAAGTATAATTATATACGTCTCTGCCTGTGTAAAGCGTATTTAACACATTGCTGATTGTAATTTTAGTCTTAGAAAAAAAAAGAGTATGTATATTAAAAGGAAATCTAGATAAGAAAGAAACGCAATGGCAGGAACGGGATTTTAAGATTGAGCAGTTTGGAGTCGGAGCTATAACTCTTTTTGGTGTCAGGGAGTCCGAACCATCTAAACAACTCTGTTTATATGAGCCATAAAAATACAGGTCAAGCATACAAGCTACGCCTAGTTTCGGTCAAGATAGCGCTATATAATGCTCCAGAATATTATTCTTTGTTATAAAGTTTCCAATCCAAATGAATCAAAGCCTATTTACTGTACGCAATGCCTTTAACCATCGCATACCTAGCAGCACAAGACCCATTATTGAGCCTCTTAGTATGCATAGAGCGTCGCTTGACACATACTGAGGAACTGCGCTCGCGCCCTGAATGCGTCTCGCGATCTGATATCATAGGAATGGGAACATTGTCCACCTTGGTTTCGATTTACCGACAGTTTTAATGACTTTCGGTTTCAGTTCCGTGTTTACGTCATTTCTTTAAGTGTCTTTATGACAATGTGAGCATTATTTTGAGTTGCAAATTTATTTTCTGGACTTATCTTAGGGAGGGAGTGGATGGGCTTGGAATTCAAAGTAAAAGCTAGTTTAAGTTGCAACTTGCACTTTAAATCCAGACTGGAATTGGGGAGTGTCAAATCCATTTTCATCCGAAAACAAAGTTTTGCCTCAATTTTTTTACAAAGCCGTAACTAAGTCCGGGATCCTTCCAGCCAATTTTTTTCAAACGCTGGTTAAAAAAAATCCGGCCTTACGATAAGCTCATTTCCAGGTGTTCATCTAATTCTCTCTTTTGACCGTAGCTTTGCTTAGCCCTATCTGAAGAGCTAAGATTCTTTGTTGACGCAAGGGATTTCATTAGATTCGCGCCTTCACTGCTTTGGTGACCTAATTGTGCGAGGTCGGCCTTTCTCTTACCATCTTCGAAGCTTGAATCTTCAGTGTATCGTTTTGACAGTGCGATAAACAAACCGTGGTGTTTTATTTCAATGTTTGAAGAATATTGAAAATCTCCGTAGGCGCGTAACCACAACAGCCTTCCTTCCTTATCTTCTGCCTTCGACCCCTCTATATTAAGCAGGAAATAAAAATGAATTTCTTTTTTATTTTCGGCAAGCTCGAACGTTGTATTTATAAAATTAGTCAAAGTACATCTCCTCAGTGAAAATGAAAAATGAAGTTATGATCCGACTAAGTATATTAACAGACAAGAAACATACAACAAACTTTTTTGTGATCCTTAAATACATACATCATAACTTAATGGACGTTGAGATGGTTCTTTCATAATAAGAATTTCGTTGTGTAAAAAATAAATCTCATATAATTAATACTGATTGATATATATATATAATTAATACTACATTAATTGATTCACCATGACTGCACGGATGGCCCAGTGGTTTAAGCGGTCGCCACGCCACTTCCTGTTGCGCCGAGTGTTGTGGGTTCAAACCCCACATGGGACAACACTTTGTGTGATCCACAAATTGTTGTTCTGAGTCTGGGTGTACTTTGTGTCCGTTTCATGTATGTTTGTAAAGTCCCCCGCGACACAGGATTTATTCCTAGTGCGGAACTCCCGCTCCCTCCCGTTTTCAAAATTGATTCACCTAGAAAAAAATGTGCTCAGGCTGTAGACAGTTACCGTTAATATATTTAAAGATAGTTTATATAACACTTATTTTCGAGTTAAACAACATTTACATGTTCTACATCATCGTACATCACATACATAATAACCGAAAATAAAGAAGGTCAATTGAGTTAGAGAAGTGGGTTCAAACCCAGAACAGAATAAATTTGATGGTTTTCTAAAGTTTTCTATCAATTCATTATTGAAAGGCGTAAAATTCCCAAGGCAACTTAGTCAAGATATTGCTTTGGCTATTAAACGAAACAAAAGGGTAATTTGTTCAGCTTAATCTCCGTAAACGCTTACTAACGAACAAAGAGAAAATAACCCATAGCAATTTGCAAATATAAACGACTTAGTGTGAGCAGAACAGTGTTAAGCCTTTTGCTGATTTGTTGTTCTACCAGTGATGGAATCAATTGAAATGAATGATTCCATCGTTGAGGTAAGGGAATGACCTACCTACCCATACTTGACCTCTGTAGGGGTAAGGGAGGTCTTAAAATACCACGCTTGGTTTATGTACAGGGGTGTTAGATTTTCGTCACATAGTCTATATTATTTCAAGCGCTGTCTTAAAAGACAAAATTGAGAGAAATATTTTTTTACCATTCAGTTTGCAAAAAAATGTTTAAAACCATATAATTATATGAGTTACGGCTGTTATAGAGAAGAGACATCACAATACTGTCACACATCACATCAACAGCCTTTAATAGTCCACTGCTGGACATAGGCCTCTCCTTAGAAAGGAGGTTTTGGCCTACCACAATACTGTATATTATTATTATTCGTGTATTATATCAAGTTTCATACTCCTGGTTGGAAATTTAATCGTTGTATCAAACTCTTCTTCCATTTCAGAGTGGGACTGCATACTGGATCCTTTACCTATGGTCGGTGTTATCGGCAGCGCGGGCCGTGAATGGGCTGCACGTCACGTGTTGGCTGCTGGAGCGCTGCTTGGCAAGAGTTGTTCTGCAGCCCTCAAGTTAGCTGGACACAATGCCCAGTTGCAGACACAGGTAACGTTAGGATGCACATTAGCCCTAGTCACATTCGTACTAAATGCTGGTACGGTAGTGCCTGCTGCGTGTACAGACACAGAATTATTTGCACACAGAATTATTTCTTATCAGACATAGTTTGTCTGATAGGAAATCTCTATAAGAGCTCGTGTACTAATCCGAATCAATCCAGAAACAGCAACTTCGCTCACCACCCGTACTTGCGTTCTACTCTCGCTTTTTGAGGCCTCTGGAAGCTCGTCTACTGCTCGAAATTGAGGGAACTGCCTTCAAATATTTCTTCTTGAGTATCATTTGCTAATCTTAGAGATAATTAAATTAGAACGAAACTATTGTATAGATATTTTTGTGTATAAAAGCTCTGTCATTTATAATTCCAGGGTTATCTTTTCGGCTGCCACCTGGCCTTAGCTTGGCAGGCTTTCCTGGACTTGGAGGCCTTCACAGGCCCGGAGCCGTCCAGCTTCTCCCTGGTAGGTGCTCCTCTCGCCTTCACGTTGGAGGCGAGGCCGGAGCTCTATGATCACATCGAGGCCGGACGTAAGAGTGTACACGATGTAGACTACCATGCTGTATGTTTATCAAACAACTTTATTTCGTTTTTCTATCGCTTTTATAAGGTTAATAATAGTCATTCTTTCTCATTGTGATGCTGGAGTACCTAAACTGCACCTCCTTGTCCATTCTCATATAAAACTTAATTTATTTTCTTTAGACATGAATATTTCTAGTGATGCTGGGAATTTTGAAAAGTCATCATACAGGCACAAACCAATTCAAAGAGATTTTATTGATTGCTATAACATAATGGCCTATCTCCTATTTAACATCAAGCCTCCTTGGGAATGTAATCGTTTTCGAATGGGATAAGAGAGAAAATAGAAAAATTTAGGGCAAGGAGAACGAATAGAGCCGGAGCTTGGGTATGAGATGCGGGCCATACCAAGCTTCTGATGGGAATCGGTACTGAGATTGCATTAACTCGAGGGTTTTGTATCTGTCCGTTTAATTGAGAAGGCACTAGGACAAAACTCAGAATACTTTTTAATAATTTTTATCATTTAAGTTACAAGGTTCCTATTAGCACATTAAGATTTACATATATACATATATGTCACTAGTGGATTCAATAATCGGATATGCTCTCACTGATATGCTCTCACATTCAAAACATATATTGATAATTTAGAAGAAATTCAAATTAGGTTCATAAAATAACTCAATAAAAAATCGTTAAAGAAAAATATAAAAATGATTACGCTAAATTGTATAAATTATGTAGAATTCTAACAGTTACATTAAAACACGAATTCCAACTTTTGAAAACGAGGAAGTAGTTTGTAGATTTATTATAATAAGTTTGCGCTGTATGTACCTATAATAGTTTTTAAATTATTTAAATAAGACCAAATGTACGGAGACTCGATCCCCCAGTCAAACCATCAACCCGGTTTTGGGGGACAATGACTGGAAATGCTAAGAAAAAGTTAATGATCAGTGAGTAAATGAATGATAATTTTGACAGTTGTATCGAGCGGTGTTAGAAGGAGAAGGTATCGAACAGACGAAGCAGTTGCAGCGCGAGCACATCGCGCGAGCCGTGCACGTGCTCGACAACTTCCACAACTGCGACGCGCGGACAGCACTGGCCAACATCATTGTAGCTATGCACCATGAACATCTTTAATATTTATTTATTTATTTACAAACAACTGTGGATATGACAGTATCTCATTTAATGATACCAGACCCAGATTAGTATTATTAATCTAATTTTCCTTTCTAAGGAGAGGCCTATGTCCAGAGTATTAGACATGGGACCAAATCATAGTGAACTGCAGACTATACAGTGAAGTTACGAAGTTACGAAGTTCAAATTGTGTAAGCTGCTCTATAGACTGCCAATTATCTGAGATTTAACCTATGGCTAAATATAAACAATGACTTAGGTAAGTTATTTTCTTTTCCATTCTGTATCGTGCTTGTAAGTTTTTCGAGTGTCGAGTATAGTTCATGTTTAAATTAAGTGTTATTATTATGTCTTAGTTACATGGGCTACGTAAATGTGAAAAAAAAGAAAAGGGGTCTAATTTAAATGTCACTTTTCATAAATAAAAAAACTATTTATTAATTACTTATTATACTTATCTTGGGGTAGACTAGAGATGACCGTGTTTGCACTTAATGAAATACCGTCTTATCCACTTCGTGTATCTAGTTCTAGAGTATTTAGAGTACCATTTGTATATTTGAGCCAGTTAACTTATAAGTTTTATTTACAGTGGAATGATTCACTAAAGTAGTCGAAAGGCAAGACCTTAATCTTAGATTATTAATTTGTTTAGATTGACTGTCAAAACTATTAAAGCTTCGGAAAAAAATTGTGTCCAACTGTTGGCCGCTAAGTTTCAAACCGCTGTTGGCGTTGCTCTATTTACACGCACACTAGCATGATTCAGTTTGCCTGTTTGTTTTAGTTGTTTTGCAGTGTGACACTCGTCGTCAATATTTTCAATGAATAATGTTTGAGTGGTCACGGTGAGTCAGGATAACCTATATTTTAAAATCTTAAACAAATTATTAAAACTTTACCTTAACAAACATTTTATAAAACTCTTTTACATTTTCTAAGACTAAGGCTATTTTTTTTTTGTATATTTAACAAAACATTACAGCTATTGGACACGTGTCTTTATCTACAGTAACAGTACTTGAGTAATTTTAAGGTGCTTGTTTCTAATATGAATTTTGTACCAAAAAGTTTAGTAATTCCATTTTAGTTTACAAAATTGATTTGCCATTTGTCTTGAGCACCCATTGTGTAAGAAAATATTTGCGCCTTATACAAGGCCTTACAAACGGCCTATTTAGAAGAATAGCTATCTCTTTTAGATGTTAGATTTTAATTTTTATATTAATTTTCTTTAGACGTAACGCCTTGTAATAGACGAACAAAAAAATTTCATGAAATCAAATATTGTGTATGTGCCCAATACAAACCCAAACAAACCCAAATTTTATTTTTTCTAAAAAATAAAATTAAAGTTAATTAGAATTTTGTTTGAAACCAAGAGGTTTCTTTAATTTGATTTCTTTTGTCTACAAGAACTTTTCTCCAAATTGTTTTTTATTTGATACCTACTAATAGATAGGTATTTTGTTTTGAATAATGTGTCTGGGATAGGAATTAAACCCATTACCTCAGGCTCCGCTGGCAGGTGCACTAACCATTAGACCAAGAGGCTAGACAATAAAATGATGTATTATGTATAAGACTTTTTTTATATTTTACTTTATATTTTATCATTTAGTAATAATAAATAATAACAGTTACCAATGACAATGCAAAACATGTTATGTAAGGATATGACTTACCTAAAGTTTCATGGGAGAGCCATGCCTCTGTGCAAGTGGGCCGGCTCGACCGGCCTGATACCACGGCCTCACAGAAAACCGGTGTTAAACAATTCTTTTGTTGCTTTTCACCGTTTGAGGGAGTCCAAACTTTTCCCTAATTTTTGGGCGGGGAGACTCTTTTTTTCTTTTTATTAAAAAAAGACAACGCCTGTCGAGAGCTAGTTGATGTAAAAGAAACTTACACTAGGCTCTCGGTTTCACCCAATTCACCCACCCAATGGTTGACTGGTAGATAATGTTTTAGGGATTAAGTCCGCCAATACATCAAATGTGCATAATGTATAATAAATATAAAAAAAGTATATTATATCTATATTAAATGTATTTTAATACCAGTTTATGCTAAACTTTTAAATTGTAGTTTTTATAAACACCGGAGTTATTTCTCCTCGTAATTTTAAGACAGTGACATGTATTTTAAGAATTTGTATTATTGTTAAATATACGTTGTACAAACACTTTATATATTATGTTATAATTTTATATTTCAAATATACATACCTACCTATTATTAATCCTATTATTTATTGTTTCCATATACGACGCTCGAGTGAATCCCCATTTAGCATCATGGACTCTACTACGATGGCCATTAAAGCTGGAGAAGTAATCTGTTTCGTTTGTGAACTCCAGGAAGTGCATTATCAACTTGGGTTCAAGTTGGTTTACTTGTACGAGGTGTATCATAATTTGGCATCTACACCTTAAAGTGGTACTTTTATTGAACACTTTGGTATTTAAATAAATATAAGTACAATTCAAATAACAAACAAAAAAGTGTATTTACAACTGTCCTTCAAGAAATTAAGTTGTCTCGGAAATGTATTTTCATGATATTTGAGTTAAAAAATGACACGACTCAAACTGTACCGTAGTAGGCGTGGCCGTGCAGTAGAGGCAATTAATTTTGTTATTTGAGGTACGAAAATAAAATAAACTGTAGTTCAATTTGCACTATTTAAACTGTACCGCAGAAGGCGTGGTTAAACTACCAAGAGCCAAGGTTGTATAGCAGAATTTTGCAACATTTTTCGGGCATTTTTAAATCTCTAAACTATAACAATATTCAGTTTTTAAACGAATTTTTTCCTATCATATAATGTGAATGTGTGGTGTGGTGACGGATTAAGAATCCGTGTGGTGACGGATTAAAAATACAGAATGTCACCACCCATTGTTTTCGTGGGTGTAGTAAGAGCCGACATAGGGAGCAAACTACGCAGGGCAACGGCAACCTGCAAAGAGAAGGAAAACTTGACACAAACCCTATACCAACCCATCTGGTCAGCGTGGTATAATAAGCAACAACATCCTTTTTAAGGACAGGTCTTTTTTTTTTTAACGTGTGGAAATCCCCTCGGCCCGTCACCCCACCGGGTTTGCGGCGGGGTGGTGTGTCGGAATCGGACCGACTAAAACCACACGGTGTGCCACTCTCTGCGCCTGTAACAGGAGGGATCCGGGAACAGCTGTTGTTAAGACATCCGGACCCCTCCTAGCGCCGGCCCGCTCCTGTTGCGGGCTCCGTCTCAAAATTTTAACCTTTCTCTTTCGGCGACGTCCGGCACACGCGGACGCCGCCCCCTCGCGGCTGGCCAAACTAATGCAGGTGGAGGGGAAACCCACCCCGTCCACCCGCGGCCACACTCAGGGCGGCATGAGGCGGTGATAGGCGCGCCTCCGCCGCCCGGTTCGCTGGCGGCGGATCGGGTCCGAGTGGAGGTCGTCCTCCCGGGCCTTCTCCGCCGCCTCCTTCTGCAAGATTACTTCCTCGCAGAAGGTAGCGACCGCGGTAAAACAACTGTCGCTACCGGCCATGGAGCGTACTACGGCCGGTAGCGAGAGATCCACTCCGATGACTGCAGTGAGGGCCCGACGCTGCGCCGCCCATGCGGGGCAGACCGCCAGCGTGTGCTGGGCCGAGTCCTCACTGCAGTCGCAGTGGTGGCAGGCGGGACAGGACAGGCCTGTGTCAAGCAGTGGACTTTTAAAAGCTGTTGATGATGATATCTGAATGGTTGAAAAATTTTAAGTTACCTCTTTCGTGCCTCCTAACGTCTGTTATTTCTATCAATGATATTCTCATGACCCATGGTGATACTTCCGAGTATGATAATAAATTCATGTTAAAACAACTCAATAATTTGACTGACCAGCCAATTCGAGGCAAGTAGATAAAATAAGGTAATAAATAAAAGAGTTCAACGTTTTTTTTTAAATTAATTGTATTAATAAATAATGGTAGTTCTATTTACATGACACATTCGATTACTCTTTTGTTTTGGCAGAAGACAATAAAAATATTGTTACACAATAAGTTCGCCTAACTCAAACGTACCTAACATTCCTAAAACATTGGTAATGAACCCATTTCATCAATATCAGGTAAACATAACATTTAAAAAAAACACATTTTTGGTTACACTCTGACAATACTGGTCGTTTTTGGTTTGAAAAGTATCCGTTATAATACAACATTGTATGTTTCACATAAATATATTATATATAGAGTAGGAAAGCCAAATTAAGTCTGTTATTTAAAGAGATACATATGTTTTTTGCTTTCATATTTATTGATTTACTTTTGCGACATCTGTCTTCAAAAACTGTGGTCACAAATGATAATAAACTTTAGAGATTTGGTATGACTCCTACTCTACCTGTAATATGTCTATAAAGTTCACAAGGCCAACCACGCTGTAACAGACATACAAACATACACTCGCGGGTTAATGTATATCACAGGTTTCTAGTGTGACCTAAATGATACAGTTAGCTTACAAAGTTGCTTCCACTACAATTTACATTATACAATTTGGTGTCAAAATTGCTTCCGAGTTTACATGTGTAAAGTTTTACAAAAAAAAACCAACTGTTCCGTGTATGTATACGATTTAAAAATACTGTTATTGCTTTTGATATGTCTTGTCACACAATGTATTGAGTTGAAAATCGATTGGCAACTATATAATGGCAAGAATAAAGGGCATTTTACCAACGGTACACACAAATAATATCAGAAATACAACTTTAGGCAGAATTTCAGTAATTTACCAATGTCAAGCGTTACTATAAGACCGTCGACAATATCGCACCATTCGTTTAATTTTAATATTTTTTTCACTCCTAAGTTACAATGTACATAGACCCCGATGTCTATTATTGCTTAGTTTTTATAAGTTTTGTTATCACCAAAACTTTTACCTATAAATAATTTTCACGTTCGTCCCAATAAATTTACCATTCAATAAATACGTACACGTAAAAAATATAAACTATATGAATAGTTTAATCTTTAAAACAAACTTCTCCTTACATCTAATTATATATTAATAACTATTTATCAGTATGTTTTCATTCATTTTCAATAATATGCCTACTTTATAATCTTTCCAAGCGCCTGAAAATTGTTTTTTTTTTTAAATTATTATTATTCTTGCAAATATTCTATCCTATAAGTAATTTATTATTCATCTTTTTATTGTATGGTATCTAATTTATAAAATTTTATCGTCACTAAGTTAGAAGAATGTTCGTATTAATGCACTCGCAAATCTTAAATTATAAGGTCACCAATATTTATATAGAAAAATTAGATTCATCGTAATATCAATAAATATATTTTTAGCCGAACATATGAACATACAGGCACCCGACTTGACACATAAAGAAGGCGAAATTGAAATATGCGTCAAACAACTTCCATAATTTAATGATCGAGCCATAAAGCAAATATATTAAATATTAACGTCTACAGTAACACTAAAATTATTACAAAGAAAATGATACGATAATGGTTCACGTAATACAATATAAATAAGTTAAATATTCTAAAAAGTTAAAAATACACACATCTTAACCTAATAGAAAAGCATTCGTATCTGCGGTAGGGCGCACTAGGCACAACCGCATGTTCCATTGATTTAAGATTTAAAAAATATGAGCCAAAAACAATCGTCGAGACCGACAGGAATGGTAATTAATATTACAAGTAAAATAAAACAATTAATACACAGACAAAGGTACAAAAATATGAATAAACACGACCGCCGATGTGACCGGCGCGGGCGCAGCCTACAACCGGCCCGTCCTCAATGTGCTGTTTTGTACTTTTGTTCTGGATAACGTTATATAATGTAGGGTTAGTAGTTTATGAGATCATCGTGTCGCATAACACATTCGAATATGCGCTTAATTAGAAAAAAAACATCGACAAAATATGCAGACAAAACATACATTTACGTCACTATTTTATACAGCTATAGTCTGTTTCAAATTAAACTAACCGCTCAATGGTCGGATCGACGCTCGTCAACTTAATATAAGACAAGAATATACAAAAAATTCTACACTAAGACGGTCACTCGGACAATACACAATCGATATTAACGTAACGTAAGACTAGCTGAAATGCGATAAACACTATTTAAAATTAAAACTTAAATTTACATCTTTGATTAAAAACTCACTCAGTATACGTTTAAAAAATACTTTAATTAAAAACGGTATTCAATTCCAATTCTAAATGCATAAAAGGAATCGCTGGATTTTCGAAGAAATCGCGAGCCAATGTCGGGCTGCGCCTACTTAGAATTAGTCGAGGAACTACAAAATATATTGGAAAGCACATGGTCCTAACAATCGATTAGACCTAAAAATGGAAAGGCAACACAGCTTATACACCTAGAGGGGGATTGTCGCTCCGTCGTCTCGCGCCGGACGGAGTGGGCTTGCGTCAGGTGCTGGACTCCTGGTACGGGCCTGTCACAGTGCAGGGGTGCATGGGGAACAGAGTTGTCCAGGACATGGTGGTGTGAGTATCGGTACGGAGCATCAACTGCCCAGAGCGTCTGGCAGCTGCCGTTGCTTCCACGAGAGCAGCTAATGAGGAGAAACCGCCTGGGATAGCATCAGTCCCGTTACCATTCTTCCATTTATCAGCGGCGCTATTCTGACGTTCGGGCCCTGGTGTTGTAGCGGGAGATACCGAGTTGGAATTTGGTCCAGGAGTACCCGGTGTTGGTGGATTCAACCCAAGTTTCTTTAACCTCATCTTTTCTTCCCATTCCTCGAGACCATGTTTCGGTCGGTTTAAATTGCGGTGTTGATAGAAAACGAGAGATATTCGGGTAGGGTTAACCCTATTTGGACTTTTGACAGCAGTAGTGGAGTGCATTTCATGTTTTGCGCATTCGAATAAAACGCTTCCATGGCCAAGCGCAATAGCAACACCACCCATCGTACTGTCTTTGAAGCATTCTAAATTATCCGTGAAATCTGTAACTTCACCTATGGGCTCAGCTTTTGGCGGTTCTGGTGGGTATGGGATCGAAAATGGTGGCGGATATATGCACCAATTTGGTGACGACTGACACCAATTCGGACTAGGATTTTGGTAGAAATTTGGTGCGAAATTTGGATTATACTGATATCCGTAGGAGTTGTAACAGTGAGAATTTCTTAAAAGTTCTTCTCTTTTATATTTCTCAGCATTGTAGTATGCTAAGCTATTGTAATCATTATACGTATTCTCATAAGGATTAAAGTGGCCATAAGGGTTCGGCGGAAAGGGATAGGCGTTTGCCACTTGCGGATAGTTTCCATAACCTTGTATAGGTGTTTGATTACTGTAAGTATTCTGACTACCTGGATGGAAATTATTACCTCCGAATTCACTTATTGGTTTAGCTGCCGCCGTCGCCGCCGCCAAGTTCTGTTCATCATGATTGATTGTAAAGTTACTTTGGGAAGTTGATGTTTGAGGAGCAGTATTGTTAATTCTAGCGTCGTACGGACTTCTATGCTCATAGCCTTGGCCCAAATGAGGCCTATCAGAAGGTGGATATGGTTTTAGAAATGTAGAGTTCTCTAATCCTTCAGGTGGGTTGGTGTGTTGAGATCTAGAAGGAGGTCTCGCTTTTGGGACTCTGAACAAGGCATTCTCATTTTCTGGTGTTATTTGCTCTTTAGATTTCGGATCCCAATTTTTAGAATCAGGAGACTTCCAAATACTTTTACGGGCATCGGAGTTTATCATTTCGTTATTTGGTGATTTTAATTCTGGAATATGTGACCTGGCTGGTGATTCGGGTAAGTTTTGCGAATTTTGAGATATCTCAGTCAGCCGTGGTGAGCTAGGCATATCAAAATCTGGTATTTTATTCGTAACATCGACAGTCAAGTTCGGTTTATCTTGTTTCGCGTTGATTTTTTGTATCGATGGATCAGAATTTGAATTAGTATCGCTTCTACTTGAATCTGGGCTGTAGTTATTCAGAGGAACGTTCAAATTTGCCGTAGTAGAATCTGGATCTTCCTTAATGACATTATTGAACATTTCTGTATTAGCGAAATCTGGCCACTGGTTCTGTGGAGGCATTTGGTGTTGGAATTGTTGTTCTCGTTTTTGTAAACCAGCTGCAAAACTAGGTAACTGATTTGGATTAGGATTCAGATTAGGGTTCGGATTCTGACAAGAGTTTCCTTCAATTACCGGAGATATATGATTTGGGTTATACAACGTATTTTGATGGTGTAGATTGTAGCTTTGATCATATGGATTATATGGCGAGTCTAATACTGTACTTGATATTTGGTTACTTTGCAATTGAGCATCTGTAAAGTTATCTATCATAGTCGCCATATCCAATAAGGCGGGATTACCTAGATTTGGATTCATCAGTCCGGGAGTTTGGTGATGCATATTTGGATTCACAAAGGCTGAGTTATAGTGAGGATTGCTGTTGAAAGCTGAAGGATTGGACTGATTTAACGCTGGAGTATGGGCTCTTGGAGATGCGCTACTTTGACTTCGCGGACTAGCGTTATTCCTGGCATCCTGTGGCTGTGGAGTTCTGGGTGCTGGTGATTGTTGGGATTTCTTCTGATTCCCTGGACTTTGTGCAGAGTTGTTTGTGGATGTATTGGACTCGGAGTTCTCAGTTTCGTCTTTCCGCTTTTTTCCGTGTCGACGACAGGGTTGGAGTGGTACTGATCGCACGCGCACCTCCATTGGAAATCTATAAAGAGGATGATATTGTCTTTTAATAAAAGAAGAATTTAACTAAGACATATTTATAACTTAATCTTTTTTAACTTTTAATGAATAAGTTGCTGGGATAAAGTCTGATTGTATTTTATTTTATATTGTTAAGAGTCCATAAACTATTTTGTGATTCATATTTTTGACCTCGTTAGAAGTTGTACCTACCTCGTATTTGGTTCAAAATTTTACAGCATTTACATATAAATACTTAACTAAAAACGTGTTCGTAACGGGAGAAGAGTCTACAGCTTTAAGAGTTTTCACCTAATAATTAAATAAAACGTGTACATCACCACTCACTTGTCCAGTATATCAAGAGCTCCGTTCTTCACTTTCTCCTCTTGTCCATCCTTGGAACCAAATTCATCTGTAGTGTCAAGCACGTACAATGGTAACACATGCAGTTGTTCATCTGGTGGTCTTGTCAAAGATCGATGCTTAGCAAGAGTGACTACTGCCGTGCAACCGTTATTCATGTTGTGAAGGTCTCTGTGTGCGTGGGCGCAGAAGTCTATGCATGCTGTTACACCTGGAAGGGCACAGGATAGTGGTTGTAATAATAGTTATAATAGTAAATTAGTAAACAAAGAAAGGTTCAAAGGTGCACTCTGCAGGAAAAATAAGATTCACGAAACTATTCTGCCCTCTCATTAAAGACTATAAAGCTGATGACAGCGGATATCAGCTGAGTTTCTTACCAGAAAACGGTCTTCCAGGCTTAAACCCTAGCCTACAATCCGACGCCTCCTTTTCAAACTGGCACTGGTTTTCAAAAGCCTTCGGAGCCAGATTCATGTACAATGGACTCAAAAGAGTCGCCAACACATGGATGCGTTCTTCTATTTCACTTTCCTCCGTCTTGACTGACAATCGGAACTTTCGAACGGTTTTTGAACGGGCGTATTTACATCCGTTGTAGTACATGGACCAGGAGCAGCCGAAGCTATAAGAAGCACCGCAGATCTCGGGATCTAGCCCTTAAAAATAAAAAATATTTGGTTATTTTGAGTTGTAAAACTTGCAGAGACATTTTAAATATAAATTTTAATGATGCCATTAATAGTATATAGGTAAATCATTTGGGGTCATAAACTCCAAATAGTCAGGGCATGATCATTCGGTGGACCAGCTATAAACAGATTACTTATGTTCAGTATTGGATATCCTATGGCTAAAATTAGAACGATATTGATGATAAAAACGCGAAATGTTGTTTTTATCTGCTCCTACGTAAGGTCACGATTGAGTATAAGAGAGAGAAGTTTAAGTTAGATGTTACATAGAAATGCTAGTGTATATGCTAGTTGAAAAAGTTAAGGTAAAAAAATCAATACTTCTACTTACCTTGACAAGCGCATGTCCGGTTCTCATTCGTCGCACATCTTCTAGTTGTGGGCAGACCATATCGATTAAGCTTATGAGACAGCAGAGTGTAGTCCAAATCCGCTTCTGACTGCGGTATTCCTTCCCAAGCGACTAAGCATACAACAATCCAAGATGTTGGGCATTTATGTCCATTGCGGAATTTTACGACTACCAGGACCTTTTCAGTGTAGTTGGCACGACGAATCACCTGAAAAATTAAAAAAAAAAATATAAAATCGATTTAATTTAAGTAGTAGCTGTTTAAGAGAGACATTGACACAAAACCATAATGTTCACAAAGATCAGTTCTTGGATTAATGGTGAATTTATTCATGATGATAGTTATTAAACATGGACAGTATTTTTATTGGTAGCATTTTAATGACAAATTAAAAAAGTAGTAGTATTTTTTTGATCCATACACTCACCCATTTAGCCATCGGACATCCTTGCCCTGACTTTCCTTCCTTGCCGGTGTAGCAGATCTTTTCTATCCTTAGTTCTTTTCCGCTGAGACCTGTCCGAGCTTCCAACTCTTTTCTTAATTCTGTTAAAGTTGATGCAGCACCTTATAGAAAGGATTTCCATATTATTTTTAAGTTGAAAACTTTAGAATTATAAAAGAAATATGAGTAAGTAGTCATACCTAAATGCGTGTAGTAGCTACCCGGTTCTGGAGGATTTTTATCAGCAGGAAAACAGTTACAATCTGGAACTTCGGTCCTCGAATTGGTTCGTAATCTCTCCAAATTTTCAAGATATTCTTTTGAGTAGTTGAATTGATTCTCTTTAGGTTTTACTGAATCTGGCACTGGTGTGCTAGGTTTCGAAGACGTTTTAGCATCTTTTTCATTTGTATCTGGATCATCTTCTAATACTTCATCTTTAGTTTGAAGGCCCGGACATGCACCGTCTCTTAGATGTTCAGGTGGAGGCTTTTTAGTGGAACCTTGACGACAACAAGAGTAACCAACTTCGTTTCTGATAGCGACTGGGCCACCATCTCCAGAATATAGATATGGCTCATTTCTAGGAACAGGATTGTATGCTATATTTTTGTAAATTTTATGCCCTGGTGGAGAATGTTCAGATTTTATTTGTTCTATAAAATAAGGAGGCTTCGGTTCAGATTGTGTGATTCTTTCGTTGACTTTTTCTGGCTCTTTAAGTTGTTTCGGGTCAACATTGCGATTATACTTTTGAAAACCTGTGTTTTCTTGCATCCGAGGTAATTGAGCAAAGGTAAGTGGTTCTGCTCTTTGCAGAGGTTCATAAGGAAAGCTTTGAAAGTTTTGGTAAGCCTGCGCCTTTTGGCCGAAGTTCTCTTGTTTTATTGTCGATATTGGAGGTAATACCATGCTTTGTTGCGTCCGTGCTCCATTTGGATATTCTCTGTAGGCATTATTGGTTATCTCGTTTGGTTTTACGTATACTGGTTGATTTGTTATTCTTTGTGGTTCCGCCTTTATTAATCTATCATCTTTTTGTTGCGGATAAGTATCAGGCATCTCTAATTTAGGTATTAAAGGCGCCGATGGGTGCCTGAATTTTGCGTCATACGCTTCTCTATCATAAGCTCTTCTTTGTGCGTTCGTATCCCTCGACGGATTACAATTTTGTTGATTCATCTCCGACACCGGCCCAATGAGCATTTTAGACTGAAAATCCTTACTGTCTTGCTGAGTATAACTTAAACTATCGCTACCATATATTTCTGCATATTTTTGCGCTTCATAAGGTACGTTTGAGTATGTACCGTATTGACCCCTCATATCTGCATATGACGGCAACTTTTGAGGAGTTTTCGAAACATTTTTCAATGAACCTTGCTTATCATAACTTCTTGGGGCCTCTGTGCCCCCCTCCCATACGTGGTGGCCACCACCTCCGAACTCACCCGCACTATAAGCTTGGGCGTTCTGTGTATAATTACCAGCGACAGGATACACCTGTTCGCCTAAACGGTAATTATCTCGGAGATGGTGGCTATACGATAAAAAATGACCGGTGGTATTTCTATCATCATTTACAGAGACAGCTCCGGTTTTTCTGTCGTCCATCACTCGAGGCGGCCCCTCTCCCGGGTCTCCTTTGTCTGGTGGAGTATTGGTACCGTCCCTAGTGTGGTTCTGTTTGTTTAATATCATCGTTTTCAGTCTCGAGTTTAAATTCACCCTGTCTGATTGCGAGAACATCTGTTGTTCTGACTCCTCCTGCCTTTGCATTTGTTGGTTCTGCATTTGTTGGTTCTGCATTTGTTGGTTCTGCATTTGTTGATTCTGCATTTGTTGATTCTGCATTTGTTGATTCTGCATTTGTTGATTTTGCATCTGGTTTTGTAATTGTTGCTGTTGGTTTTGCATTTGCTGATTTTGAATTTGTTGTTGCTGATTTTGCAACTGCTGTTGACTCTGCATTTGTTGGTTTTGTAATCTTTGGTTGTGCTGCCATTGTTGTTGCCAGTCATTCTGGTTCTGTTGCTGAACTGTACCGTTATCTCTATACTGTCCGCTGTTATAGCCGCCCGAATACCCGCTACAATCTAGTGAAGCTCGCGGACCGTTGCTCCCCTGCAGGTATCCAGGCTCGGCGTTTCCCGAATGCTGTCCATTCGGCGTGTTTTGTTCTTGTCTTTCACTTTCGTTAGTGGAATCTCCCGTTCCGTTTTCTGATGAGTATCCTTCTTGATGTTCACTAGAGTACTCGGTGCGCTCATAATTTGCTTGGCTGACGGTGTAAACGGGTGCGGCTGTTGTTGGGACCGAGTTCTGGTATGACGCAGCCGATGATGGCCGAGAGTCATTGCCTGTTGTTACACCAGGCGTTGGTGTTTGTTGAGTGTACTGTTGTTGGTATTCTGTTGCGTAGTGAGGAGCCCTAGGTGAGGGAACAGGTGTGTAGGCACTGCGATTTGAAGGCGGTCGCTGCGCTGTCACGGCCTGAACTCCCGCCTGATAGTACGTGTTATTGGAGACGTCGAAAGTGGTGGCGACGTTCTGGACGGTGTATGTGGTGTTAGCTTGATAGTGTGGTGAGGTGGCATACGCTGTGTGGTTGCCTTGGTAGTCTAACGTGGTCTGGCCCGCTTGTGTTGGAAGTTGCTGTATGAACTGATTCTGCCAACCTGGAAAAAAAATATTATATTGCAATTTTTTTGTTTTATAAGAGTATACTACTAACAATTTTATATTTTATTGCAATATTAGTTTTACCTTGAGATGGGTCCGACTGCCACGCGGTTGGAAACCGATTTGGGTCACCTGCGTAGAACGGCATTGGAGCCTGAAACAATACATGAAACACCTTAATCACTTTTCTAAGTCAGTCCTTTAAACCCAACGATTTTATTTATGTTTTGTATGTAAACAAATATAAATATTTTCATTAAATAAATAAATAGTTAAAGAACCACACTGATCATCATTTTTAGGTTAGTATTCTGTCTTAACTGGTATCGCCTTACCGGAGGAATAACTACTATTATTAAGTACTTGCAATTGCAATTGTGTCTACCAAACAAAACATGTCTTTCTCAAGACAGTAAATTCCGTTATCTGTCCGTTTACTCGTTAATCATTCTTTCCCATTAGCAACATTTCGGTTAGCTGTGTGAATGAATAAGTATACAATGGTATCATCATCATCATGATGTTTATGATATAATATTCCACTATTGGACGGAAAAGAAGGAAAACTTGACACAAACCCTATACCAACCCGTCTGTCCAGCGTGGTATAGTAGGCCAAAACCTCCTTTCTAAGGAGAGGCCCATGTCCAGCAGTGGACTATTAGAGGCTGTTGATGTGATGTGACTGGACATAGGCCTCTCCTTAGAAAGGAGGTTTTGGCCTACTACATCACGCTGGCCAGACGGGTTATTATAGGGGTTGTGTTAAGTTTTCCTTCTCTTTGCAGTGCTGTTGTCCTGCGTTGTTTGCTCCCTTAGTCGACTCTTATGACACCCACGGGATGGATAGTGGTGGTCCGTCACCACACAGATATATCAATCCGCCAGCACGAACAAAGTCTTGCTTAGTATCGGTTTTCTGGGATTAAATGGTATCAACTATCACTGCGGTCGAGCCGGATGATTTGTGCCGAAGCATGGATCCCCGGTGATATATTTCCTGCTGTATTGTTTGTAGAAGTATGTAGCATATGTCCTCGTGATATTTTTACAATAGTTGTACTATTTAGATAATTAGCGTACTACGCCATACATAATGTTGTTTTAAGTGTGTCGAGGTCGTTCCTCGGGCTATGTTTACAACAATGTACTTCGTGTGAACTGGCCCTAATGTAATCATACGTTGACCGAGGCCGACGCTCATGAATTTGTTTATATTATCGCTGCTTCAATTAATACATTGTTTACATGTTTTCAATTACGATTTGTAGATGTTTTTTTTTTAGATTAAGAGTTGCAGGAGTGCTAAATGTAAAGTAAAGATGTTAACACTTTGTTGTGTTGAATCATAGAAATGATTTTTAATTGTTTGATAGGTGTACGCTGTAACCTGGATTAATAGTATTTTGACTGTTAATGTATAGCTTGATTTTAAATAACTGGTACTTTCTTGCATAAATACTTGGACCTAATAGGTATTACTTATTTTTGCACAGCCTAACGTTTCGATCATGTTGAACTAGCCAAAGCTTTACTGATCAGCCTAATTCGATTCGATGCTCAATTATATCCAAATATAGGAGAAAAATGATACTGCTATTGATGTTATGCTATTTCTAAGAATTTATAATAAATTATTAATTAATAATTCTATTTAATTAACGATAAGAAAAAAATATTGATAAATTATTAAAGTGCACCATAAATATCGCATATGAACACTTTATTTTTTTTAAACGAGAGTGCGTAGAGTAGGTATTACAAGAGCATCAACCCCCTTCCCCGATTCGGGAGGGGTCATGTAGGCGGCGGCAATCACTTACCATCAGGTGACCTGTTTGTTCGTTTGCCAAAAAACTTTCAACATGTTTTTAATAAACTCTCTTTCACATTCCTTAATTTAACACCCTTAGTAGTGGCATGCTTTTTTTCATTTAAATTCCTTCACACGGAAGTATACCCTTCCTAATAAGAAAAATATCTTCGAAATCGGATCAGAAATAACGGAGTCCTGAAGTAATTGTAATGTACACTTATATTGTTATAACTTATAACAATCCGTCAGTTTTCTACAGATTTCTTCCTTAGTCGGCTCTTACACCCACGGGATGAATAGGGGAGGGACACTCTGTATTCTTAATCCGTCACCACGCGGACGGACACTTATAACTAAGGACTAAGGAAGAAAACTGCGCAGAATAACAGCACTGCATAGAAGGAAGGGTTGGTATAGGGCCTATACCAACCCTTCTGGCCAGCGTGGTATAGTAGGCCAAAACCTCCTTTATAAGGAGAGGGGTATATGTCCAGCAGTGGACTATGAAAGGCTGATACTGATGATGATTGATGTGTACGCACTCTGTCCGGTCGATTTACGAATCTCTTTACCACCGCGCGGCTAGCAGAGCACGTCGCTCGAGACGACATATAAAAGTTTTACACATATATATTATATCTATTGATAAAAAGTATTTAGTTACTTCTATTGTTATTCTAGATGTGTTATACACTACAGTAATAAAAACAAAAATACAACTGCATATTAAAAGTCTACTTTTTGAAGTCGATTAATAAAGGAACTTGTGGGGTTTCATACATCACATAACGTAATATTACAAAATTAAAAAAATGTTGAACATCAGGCACGAAAACACGTTTAGAACAAATTATAACGTAACGTTGAAAGTTTGTAAGATTTTAATTTGTACGAAGGGATGCCTTTTAGTAAGTTAGGTAATATTTTATTAACATGCCACGGTACGTACGTCGTTTGTAATTAAAAGTTTGTTATGTCGACGTAATGAGATTCTATAACGAGATTATTCTTGTTTATTACTTAGGCATGATGAGAGCCGTTTGATGTAGACTCCGTGTTTATTTTTTTAAAGGATGTAGGTAGTTAGCGTTCTGAATACGGCCATATTACTCTCTCGATTACAGTTCAGTCTGTCAGCTTCACACACAAAGTAGCCTAGGTATTCTTTAAAATCTTACAGTGATAAAATAGAGTTCATTCATCATTGTTAGACTGACCTGTTAGTCTAGGGCCTAATCCCTATTCCCAAACTATTTTATAAACGAATACTGATTTTGGTGGTCGACGAGGTCTAAAACGACCCTTTTAATTATTACAAGTTCTTATTTGAAACTTTCAAGATACTGTATAAGTTGTGATTTTGATAAGAAAATGATGTCAAGATTACTCACTTAAGAAACGGCAAATTTTTTAAATTCGTAAGTATTTTGTATCAACAGGAAAAAAAGTAGAGATAGGATTTTTCAAGTAATTTGGCAATGGGGGTCTAATGTATAAGTTCATTTTAGGAAAGGGGTCTCTCTGGGAAGGGGGAATCCCTGGTCTAGTGGTTAGTCATCCTGTATGTTAAGTCAGAGGTCGTGTTTTGATTGGCACTGGGTACAAATATTTATGTGAAGACCACAACCATTTGTTCTGTGTTTGGATCTAATTTATCTATAAAATACATGTCTTTATGAAAACTATATGTATGTTTATAAGCAGATTAGTTACTACAGCACAGACTCTTCCTACTTTGGGATCGGGCGACTATATGGGAAATGAGTACACTTTTTGCAATTTTTATATTTTACACCGTCAATTGCATAACATGAATGTAAGGCACGATACTCAATGCTATGAAGACGCTACAATGAACAAAACTCAAAAATAATGTATCATAAAATATGTCACTATATTCGGGATCAACGTTCCTTAATACGAACAAATTAATCTTGTAAAGTTAACAAACACTATTTAACAACAGTTACAATTTACAGTTACAATCCAAACAAACAAATGTGTTCTTTGTTATAAATGAAATATCGCATTCTGTCGCGCTGAGCTTTGATAACTATGGCGATTATTTCAAATCTATTATAAAGTCATACCGGATCTTTGTTCGAAACCAATTGAATTTAGCTAAAATGTTTGTAGTCAGATTATCAAGCTTTTGGGTAGTTCAAATTTATTGAATTCATTTGGTTGAACATAAACATTTATGATGCTATTTGACAATACCTACCTACACAAAAAATTGAATGGAGCTAAGAGAATTTGCTGAATAATAATAAAATTCTAAGAGAAAGTATTCAGAAAATAGCACAAATGAACGATAAATTGGGTGCCGCCATTGCGCGTTGCACCGAAATTGGCAAAGTTTGGACTTTGTGCAAATTAAATTTTTTTACTTTGACATCTTGTTATAGGAAACTTGTTATTTGAACTAGAAATTGAACATGTTTCAACGGATTTGTGAAAGGCGTGCACGGGCAAAGGCTTAAAAATTCCCGGTTACTGTTGTGTCACGTTAGACGACAAATTGTAGGACAATGGTCAAAAAGGTATAATTTCTAAAAAGCCTACAGTTGTGGCAGTTACATAAAAGCTTGTAGATTCAGTCCATGAAAAGTAACAAGAGTGATTGCTAGAGGTAAAAGATATGAAGTGATTTGGTTATAACAAATGAAAACTTTGAGAACATTTCAGTTCATTTTGCAATGTTTCATGACTTTTGTAAGAATGTTTACTTAGACTTTGGTTGCGACAATAGAAATAAGGTTTTTTTTTTGTTAAGGTAGATTTTTACATTAGAAACATTAGAAACGTGATGTGGGATGCTCCGTTTGTTGATAAAATCTATATTTCTGTACTTTAAAACTTCAACTTAAACTTTTGATTAATGGCTTTTTGGATATTTGAAAGACGAACTGTCAAAGGATTTTATGTAGAGCTGTGGTAGAGTCAAAAAATATTTGAGAATGAAAGAATAAGAATGAATGAAGATAAAACTTAAACTAGTATATATATATATTTGTGTGTACATATACAACTAGTAATATATATATATATATACTATTATATTGAAACTATAATTTAAACTTTAAAACTTATTATAGTATGAATAATATTGTCACCCTTGTATTAGTGTCAATAAAAGAGATCAGGAATATACAAGAATAGACGAGACTTATTATGGGAAGCTTGACAAGCAAGGCTTGACGTGAAGCAGATTACAAGGAAAGGAGGTGAGTTTTCTTTTTTTTGTAACCATTAAACAAAAATACGAAACCTTAATTAAATTTTAATTTTATCAGAACCGTCTCTGTGGATTTTTTGTTTGTCAAATGCAAACGGAACAAAAAAGGACAAACAATTTAAACAAGTTCGGAGATGAGCGCACCTTCCAAAATAATACAATTGTATTAACGTTCGCCCGCTTTATTTTACTTTTAATTCTTCAAATGTTTGTTTTACCGTTTTAAAAACCTTATAATATTCACTTCATTGACAATAAATAAGTTTTGACTGTATTTTGAAATGTATACAATTGTTTAAGGACTTGGAGTTGTGTTGAATTTCCGAACTAAGACCCACAAATTTATATTTATTTTGTAAGTTATTAAGAACACAATGTTGTCACATCCTTTGTAATGAGACTAAATAAAATCTTATAATGTATCTAACGCAGTCATATTCGCCTTTTTTAAAGGACTATTTGTGAAGTGAATCACACATTGCCACTAAGTTTTTTAACCACAAATCTTTTGTCATTGGTGTCAATGAACTATTGCGACACCCGCCAGTGCGGCAGTGTTAGCCGTATGTTCAAGTTTACTAGGGTTTTTTTTTTTAATTTCGAATTCTGGATATGATTGATCTGTTGATCTAGTGGTTATGGTGACCCAGACTGTTAAGGCAGAGGTCGAGGGTTCGATTCCCACCCAGCACTAATATATATAATGTGCACGATCATTTGATCTGGGTTTGGGTGTAATCTATCTAAAATATGTATGCATATATATAACGTATGTTTATCAGTAGTTTGGTCATCTTAGTACAGGCCCTGCCTAGTTAAAGGTCACACTGCCGTCTGTGAGATGTTACGACAACGTGGTGTTACGACAACACGTTTAACACACGTTAAAAAAGAAATGATAACTAGATTTATACACACTTACGGATATGATATTCTTTTTCGGATTTTAGATACAGATTTTGGATTTTATTAATAAATTTTTAACAGATTTTACAACAGCAGGTAGTTATGCAATATTTCATGTTGATCAGGTAAGTAGTTAAGGCATGAAAAAACAAACTCACACCTGTTTTTATCACCTTAGTTAGGATCAGTCAATCCCAAATAAAGAAAAACGATTTTAAATATGTATTATTCTCAGAATCAACAAAGTTTACCTGAAAATTGACAACAAATACTACTAATTTGGAATTTTAAATGAACAAGTATTTCTTGTATCATACATAGACTACGGTGATTTAGTGATACAGAAATTTTATTTTGTGTTTGTGTGTTACAGGATTTGCGACAGTTTATTTCACATGGCGTTTAACATTAGGTTTCATATCTCAATCAAAAAACACATACCTAAACATAATTTTACAGTATATTAGTAAATATTAACAGAATTTTTTCGCCTAAACACAAATTTTAGTGTACATTTTCTTTACAGAGAAAGAGTCTCACAAAAAACGTGAATCAACCAAAGAGATTTAATTAAAAAGTTTCGCCGATACCTGGACAGATAGAGTCAAGATTGTTTTGTGTTTGTTCTTGGGTTTTCTACCCATCCGTGTAATTAGAAATCGACCAATATTATCCGTTTGAATTATGGGTAGGTGGTCCACAGACGGAATGTTCTAACTCTTTTAACCTGGGTTAACGTCAATCTGGTTCAAACTCGTTAAGTGAAACTTTGAGTAATCATTAGTTTTTGACGATATTTGTCAACAATTCCTGTTGGTAATCTGCTCTATTGGACGATAGACTATTTACTGTTGGACGTTGCCACGTATGAACGTAAGCAACAATTGTTTTACTTATTTTCCATACGTATCTTATTAATGTGAAAGTGATTTGTTTGTTCGTTTGTTACGCTTTCACGCCTAAACTACTAAACCGATTAAGAAAAAGTAAAACAATTATCATATTACTAGCTTTTGCCCGCGGCTCCGCCTGCGTGTATGTTGGTTATCGCGGTAAAAAGTAGCCTATGTTGGCTTAGCCTAGACTTAGAAGTAGCCTATGCCTGAAAGCGTAACAAACAAACAAACAAATCACTTTCACATATATAACAGAAGTATGGATTATATAAATTTAGGTCTTCTGTACTCCTCCAAATAAACTTTATACAAAGTTAATGTCCCGTTAACCAAAACTTTCATTAGTAAACACAAGGAACTGCTTCCGTGGTGAAGCACTTATCATTATCTTATCGTCTTAAAATAAACAGAAACGTTATTACAATATCCATAATTACTGACATGATGACGAAGCAATCATGGCGCTAGTTATAAACATCGCTTATACGACATCCATTATATTAATAGTTACGATACACTTAGCCGCCTCATGTTAGTGTAAAATACTTAATTATGTAGCAAGGTTTTTGCCCGAGGCTAAGTTTATTATGCACTACTATCAGCAATAATACCTATTATTTAACATTTTATTGATGATTGCATCTGTCATTCTGAGTATTTTTAAATACAGCTAATAAATAAATTCCTTGGACGGTTAAAAATAATTAACTTTTAAAAAAGTATCACAGTCTTCGATGTACCTACATCAAGAAGGATCGTAATAAACTCTATTCTTCAAGCCTTAAATTTCAACCTAGGGGTGGTATTTTTCCCTTAAATTTACGAATTTTATTGGCTTCCATTCAAAATTGTTTTTACTACGTCCACCAATCAGCTAGTGATTAACATAATAATTAAGTTTTACATTACAATTAAATTGAGGAGTACATTTGACTTTCGAACGAATGGAGAAGATAAATAAATAATGTTGGCCATTTATGTTAATTGTTGACGTGTTCACAATTCATTTTATAAAGATATAAATATTGAAATTACCTTTTTTTTTAACTTTATTAATAAAGGTTGTTAGCATTTCTACCAAAGGTTGAATGTAACAAAGCTTCTTTGTTTATATTTAATTTAATAACTATTTGTAAACAAAAACTAAAATCTTTTCAACGGGTATTTCTAGATATGAGTTGTCTGTCTGATCGTTTTTTTTAAGTCAATTAGAAGCGTTTTCCTTAAGAATTTAGAAAATTGGTTTTTCTTTTATTATGAACATATGAATTATTTATTCATTTATTTAACACATCATGCACTTTTGGTGCATTGGCGGACTGAATGCCTAAGGCATTCTCTACCAGTCAACCTAACGTTACAACGGCTATAATAGAATTTATCATGAAATTATAGAGTGCTCTTTTCGGTTGAACGGATATAAAAAAACTTACGCTACTTTACAGTTCTTGGGGAAGATTTTGGAACGTTTCACATCACGCCATGACTCTTAGTATGTCTTATGTCTACACTTATCTATCTATCTCTTAGTATCTACATATAACCCCTACCGTACGGTAAAACCCCTCGTATAATGACCACGCATAAAACTACTGAGAATAAGCCAGTAAAGAATAAATTGCCAAAACATTTTCAATCGCAGTTATTTCAATAATACGATTACAACTTTTTATTCCACATCGGTTGAGAATTCTCAACTACATTAAGTTTAAATAATCTGGATGGAAGTTTATACAAAATGTTTCGTATAATGCACTTGCAGCTGTCACTTTGACTCCGCCTGATGTTAAGGCTGGTTAATTTCTAAGAAATAATATTTTAAAGGCAAATTTTAGTTTATGAATTATTTTTCTGATAGTAACGTTTTCATACCTTAACAAAATCGTGTATTGTCAATGACACCACTGAAGCACACCACTTCGTTTACAATTTTTTTAACCACAAAACTTATTCATTTATCGACATCAATTATTTTATTTATCATTCGTAAAATCTCGACCATGACCATTTAAAAAAGGCTTATCGAGAAGTTGCTTTAAAGATGGCAGATGAAGTGAAACAAAGATATAGTCAATGAATAGTTATTGAACAATGTCGGATCAAGTTTTATCAATTAATTTAGTTGTTTTTTGTTGTAATGAATACAATTATTCTGTTGTACGAACAAAATTTACATAAAGTAAATGAGATTATCCAGAAAAAAGTAATAAGCCAACAGATATCTAAATTGATTGACGGACATTAATGCAAGCGAAGCCGTCGGCAAAGCTAGACGTTTCTTTTTAATAGTACGTTTAGGGGGCATACGATCATACGGATCAACTGGTGGTAAGAGTTCATGAACACCTGCTGCTCAACGCAGTCACAAATGCATCGCTGCCCCGTGAATCCCCGCTATTGAGAAGTTTTAACAGAACCTATTTTTGGTAAAACATGTAACCTAGATGAATAAGTCCCAGGTGATTGAGAGCCTTGTTATTTCTTCAGACTGAGGTCAACATTATCGGCAAACTGACACCTCTCCCCGCAGTAGAGGTTTTGAGAATGTTCTTTAGAGCTTGATTTCCTTAAACCCATTGACGAAATGGCCTTTCATAGATGGCCTGCTTTACCTGGCTGAGATTCGGTTCTTTAGAAGTATGATATCGTGTTTCGCTTATTGTCTAGTAAAGTTAGAAGGGACTCACCATTGGCTGACTAGGATGTTCCTGCTTCATTGCGGGCGTGGTAGCCGGAGCTGGACTCGGCGCAGCAGGCGCTTGAGGGGCCGGACTGGGGGATGCGGCTTGCACGCCAGGGACGGCAACCGCACCTACCACTCCCGCAGTTCCACCAAGAGGCTTGCGCCCACGGTAACTCTGAAATATCAATCGGAAATTAGTTACGAATTCGGTAAAACAAATTAAGAACTAGCGGAATAAAATGATAACAGGATCCTGTTCTCAGGAGCTTTCAGGCAGTACAAAAATTTATTAAAGATACATTTAATAAGAAGGGGCTCTTGGCTAAGTGGTAACTAGTTACGTAATCCTAGCCAGGTCAGTCTATGGATGGGACTATTCTTAACACATTGAGACCAGTCCGTGCCTTGGAGAGCACGTTAAGCCGTCGCGTCGGTCCCGGTTGCCGTACGAATATCTGAGGCAATCGGCAACTACCCGTTGCAGCCCAAAAAATCCGACAATAGTTTTTTTACTAAACTTCGATATCATCCTGTACTTGGGTTGTGGAGGCCCGACGGCCTGATGGATATTGAATTGAAGTTCAGCCGTATCTTAGTAGACTTAAAGACCGACTTCAACCAGTTTGGGAAAAAGGCTCGGAGGAAGACCATATACTGAGAAGAGGCGTAATATTAGGACACAGTTGCTGTAGGTTCGAATCCCACTCAATATTATTATTTACTCTGTTGATACAAAGCTTCAAACTCAAGCCTGGTAGAGATTGGCTTAAGTATAAAACTGCACGGATGGAGTAGTGGTTTAAGCGGTCACCGCGCCACTTTCTTCTACGCTGAGTATTGTGGGTTCGATCCCCACATGGGACAATACTTTGTGTGGTCCACAAATTATTGTTCTGAGTTTGGGTGTTCTTTATGTACTAATCATGAATGTTTGTAAAGTCCCCCGGCGACACAGGATATATTCCTAGTGTGGGCGTGGTCTTTATTGTAAAAAAAGTCCAGTTATGTACCAGATGAACTTTAACTTAAAATTTATGCGCATATAGTACATAAGCGGTACAAAAACTAATTAAACACAGTAGAATTATCTTTTTAATGAGACTCTTTAATGTCAATGTCCTCTTCTAACTTATAGAGATATTTATAAATAACTATCAGTCCTATTTATAAATATTATCAACATTACTTATAAATAGTATCAGACTTATTTACGAACACTAGAAATGGCGTGATGAACCTTTGGGTTTTTCATAATGATAAAAGAATTTTAAATTATTCTGTGTTATTTTTAAATTTGTCAGTGATAGAAATAAATGAATGAATGTATAAATAAGTGTATGTCCATATTTGCATTGTCATATCCGTATAATCCGTATAAATTTGAACAAAAATAAATTCAAGGTGATATTTTTCCTCTATCGGGTTACATGAAGTTTAGTTACTTGAATTCTATTTATTGAAAATACTGAGATTCACTTCACTTTCATCATAATTTAGATTATTAGTTACTGTAAACAAAATATATTTTAAGAAGCTATTAATCAGAGAATAATGTTATACTGTGGGAGAAAAAAATAGTCCTGAAAAACATACGACACATGGAGTGTAGAGGCACAGAATCTTCTCTCGAGAGAGAAACAGTGTGTGTTACAACTTTGATATTATCGAAAAAAAGAAAACAGAGAGAAAAAAAAAACATGTAAGTCTTAGCGCTTGTTCATGTAATGAAATCTTGGAAAATTAGGATACCCACGGCATTGAAGATAACTAAGGATATAAGATAGTTTATAAAATAATAGTGTAAATAATAAACAGAAAAAGTAGTCAAATAGAGGAAGTTGTAGTAACACAACAAACAAAAAAAATATCAGAACATTAGAATTTACGTAAATTATCGCAATAACTAACATTACACGCAATAAAAGTTCGTTCAATAAACCGTCTTATAACGACTGGTAATAACCGATGTCCGAACAGAATTAACGGTAATGCAACCTATCTCATTGGCGTCTTCCTTTTTCAAATGCAGCTCTGTGATTGGTCGTCTCTGACGGGCGCATATTCTAGTATGCCCAAATGCGCATTCGTAATTTCAAATTAGAAATGGAAAATTTCAAATTACTGGTTAGAAATAATTATTACATTGCCTAATGGGTCTTATTTATGGTTATGATTTATGTTTGAAATATAAATAACGGCTTGTAGAAGGAAGTTTGTTCTAGGTACTAATATTTTGACCCCAAGGTTACCTAACTGTGTGTCATAAAAGTCAAACTAATTAAAAAATAAAATACATTAATTTCAATACGTATAGTTAAAACGTTTCACAAATGGTTAGGTTAGGTTAGACAGACAGACAGACAATGGACATTAATCTTATTTATAATGATTAAAAGAAGATTAAATACACAAACATGGAAAGGTCCAAATGTATATAGGAGACAGCGCGTGCAGCGGTGTCAATGGAGGGCTGTCAGATTTGGCAGTCAACGAAGTTCGCATCTTGATATTAAACAAATATTTTCGTCTAAAATCTATATCAAAATTCCTTAAGCTATGTATATCTTTGCTGATTTTTGAAGTTTTAAATTATTTACGACTAAAATATAAGCAATGTAATATTGTTTTGGTATTTTACATCATAATCGTTTCGTTTCCTAATAACATAATTCTATTGGAATTATTGTCGGTATAATATTAAATTAAAAATAATGTTTAGTCTAAGTTCCCGGCGAATCTATAAACCCGAGTACCAAAAAAAAACACCTATTTACTCGTTAGTTGTGAGCGTTTGCTCATAATTTAATTATTCTCAATTCTGTGGTCGTGATTGTCTTGTCAAGGTACTAGCTTAAGTACACAGAGAAAACCAACAGACCGCAACATGAAGTTCATGCAGTATGTGAGTAACGAAACGTGAAACAGTTAAATCGTATAGAATTATTAATAGGAGCGCTATAATTGTAACAGTTTAGGCTATAGCTGCGCGCGTAGCAGCGTGAGAGCGTTCCTCCATACGCTCCGATGCCTTTCATAATGCAATGCAACTACATAATATTGCAATAAAAAAACATACTTTTATAATAAAATTTGTAGTAGAATTTTATTTTAAGAAAAGAAAAAGCTACTAGCGTGTGCAGTTTAAGGTAAAAGATTTTCACACAATAAATATTCTTCCAATACGTTATCATAAAAAATGCAATATGTTTGCTTATAGTTTGATGAGACTTTGTTTGTTTTTTTTTGTAATGTTGAATATAGAAGTAAAAGTAAGTTATTATGTAAAACTATTCTTATGGATAAGAAAATGGAGTGTCACCAAACCCTATTCATTCCGTGGGTGTCTAAGGGAACAAACTACCTAGGACAACAGCACTGCAAAGCGAAGGCATACTTGAACCAAACCTTATATCAACCCGTTTGGCCGGCCAAAACCTCCTTTCTGAGGAGAGGTCTATGTCCAGCAGTGGACTGTTAGAGGCTGTTGATGATGATGATACACATTCATAGTTAGAAAATTATTAATATCGGCCCTTATAAGGTTTTCTAGCGGGCCTGCATAAGTGACTACCGCTACCCATGGATAACACAAGACTCACAAATGCATTGCAGCCATTTAACTCAGGAGGAGGAGTGGGGAGGTTTGGTCTCCGGTCCTCCTGTACTCGGTAAAAAGCAAAGAAATAATTGCTAAACACCGGATTTCTGTGAGGCCGTGGTATCACTCCGGTAAAACCGGCCCATTTGTGCCGAACTCCGAAGCATGGCTCTCTCATGAACGAACATTTTACATTTAGTAAGAGTAACGTAACATAGAAACTTCAAATAAGAATAGATAGAACAACATAAAGTATACGTATTTAAATTCAAATGATTAATTCCATTTTTTAAATTTGACTACGCATTTTTAAATCACACTAACAACATCTATCTGTCTCTCTTTTACATATATTAGTCAATCAAAACTAGATATACAATGACCATACTTTACGGTACTTTCTACATTCGTTTGTCATCTTTGGAAAAAAGAGAAAGTCGGTTGCAGATTATTAAGTGCAGCCGTTTTAAAAAACTTTCTAACAATTACGATCTTCAAACTTTTTTTTTAAATTTCCTTTTCACGCAGTCGATGCAGCTTGAGAGTTTTTTATTAAGAAATATGAAATGCAATACGAATTACACACTTTATGAATATATTTCACTTCAGTTAACAAAATGAATGCTTGTCATATTTACTTAATATTTGCTATACAAAAGGGCCAATGCATAAGAATGGCTTATCCTCGAGTGAATTTTACGGTAACATAATATTTGTAAAGATTATTCAACATCTATTTTTACGTATTTGTGTAACAACGATTTACTTTGATTTCATGACTAAGAAAACTATTTATGCCTCAGTTTTTATTAGTTTTGCCTACCTGGCAATTTGTGCGAACAATATAAAACGTTATTTAATATTTATGACTGTTTTTTACTGGATTAAACACAGCTAAGAGAATAATGTCTTAGATTTCGAGTGTGTTTATAATTTTGTAATTATTCATATAAATATAATTATAAAATTTAACCTTGATACCTATTTCTAAGTATAATATTAAACTTTTATATTAAGAAGTGATCGGCCAGAGATAATTAGCTGCAGTTTTTTAATGATAAGTGCATTTCTCGCAACTTCAGCGCCTTTCGGATTAAAATTTTCACATGAGTACCTTTAGTTTTATTTTACGAATTTGGTACAAATGTTTGTTCAAATAGTGGCCGTGGAAGAGCAATGCTATGGCACATATGTATGTGTTGGCTCGACCGTACTGATACGACTGCCGGTGTAAAGCTATTCTTTAACCGACTTCCAAAAAGGAGGATGTTCTCAATTCGTCGGAATCTTTTTTTTTATGTATGTTCGCTGATTACTCGAAAAAGACTGAACCGATTTGAAAAAATATTTTTTGTTCTAAAGGGTATACTCCCCAGGTAGACTGGAACATACTCCCAACGAAAGTTTATTGATCTCGGTTAAGCGGTTTTTGAAAAATCAATAAAAATCTAAAAATTCTAAACATCGATGATATTTTTGTTTACTTACGAAACCTGCTGTCTTATTTTCTGTTCTCATGTTTGAAGTCGGTTCAACTTTCTTTCAAAAGGATTTATTTGTTTATTTACTACGTTAGT